CCTGCAGGGGGTGGGGGCCAGTCACATCTCTAGCTCCCCCTATAAATATCCAAGCACTGCACTTTATCAGTGCTTAGTTGTTCTAGTGCTTGCCCCAGTCTCCAAGCGTCCTGATTTCCGTTTCTTGTTCCTGATTCTTGGCTCCTGGTAAATCTCTTGGCTTCTGACCTTTGGCTTTAATCTTGACCACGCTTCTTGTCTCCATCCTTGACCTCTGGCCTCCTGACCCAATTTGCAGATTTTCTTGGCTTCAGAGCTCCGGCATGATTCTTGACTCCCTTGCTGACAACCCTGACCATTGGACCGGCTGACTCTGTCTGCTCCTTTCTGGTTTCATCACTTTCTCTGTAAGTAAAGGCATCAATGCCCTCATAGATCCCCGTATCACTCTTAGGCACCTGGGAAGGTCGTGTTTGCAGCACAACCTGGTAAGGGGCAATTCTGTTTTGTTAGGAAAGATAGTTATACTTCCCAATGGGGACCCTAGCGCTCGTACTGGTCCCTTACCCAGGCCCTGGCTGTACTCCCATGATGGCGACCCTAAAGTCTAGCTATATACTCTTAGAGAGACTTCAAATTCCAGTTTCTGGTCACTTGTCTTTTTGGATCACAACCAATGCTGCAGTTTAAAAAAGTGGTGTTTCCCACATGGGAAAAAAGAAATCACTGTTTAGTAGATATACCCCCAATGAATACATGCATGCATTTTCATGCATGTATTCATTAGGGTATATTTTAAAAGAGCTTTTGTGAACTGCAGCCTTAGCAAGCCCTCCCCTTTTTTCTTGGAAGAGATTGCAGTCTCTTCACAGGAAAATAACCAACCAGAGTCTTCTCTTGCACCCACAGGCTTGTGCGCACACACACACAGCTACATGTCCGCGTACCTGCTTGTGCACACGTCTGGTCTGAGGTGGGGAGCTGGTGAGTGGGGACACGCTCAAGTAGAGCATGCCTGCCACTTCCATTAGCTCGGGAGAGCTAACGGAAGGAGTCTGCAACCTCCCTGGCTCTTTGATTGACAGCCAGGGGGGAGTTCCCTAGCAAATTTATAGAAGTGCTGATTTCTCATAGCACTTTTATAAACTGGGGTTAAAGGACCACTATAGTGCCCCCACCCTCAGGGTCCCCCTCCTGCCCGGCTCTGGAAGGGGGAAAGGGGTTAAAACTTACCTTTTTCCAGCGCTGGGTGGGGAGCTCTCCTCCTCCGATCCTCCTCTTCTCCTCCCATGCGGCTGAATGCGCACGCGCGGCAAGAGCTGCGCACGCATTCAGCCGGTCACATAGGAAAGCATTCATAATGCTTTCCTATGGACGCTGGCGTGCTCTCACTGTGAAAATCAATGAGACTGCCACTAGAGGAAATAGGGGAAGGCTTAACCCATTCATAAACATAGCAGTTTCTCTGAAACTGCTATGTTTATGAAAAAATGGGTTAACCCTAGCTGGACCTGGCACCCAGATCACCTCATTAAGCTGAAGTGGTCTGGGTGCCTAGAGTGGTCCTTTAAACTAGGCTACTTTTAACCCATAAAGCACTTCAGCAAGCTGAAGTACTTTTGGGGTGTGGAGTGGTCCTTTAAGTGGACTCTGAAACACAATGCCTGTCTGTGCTCATTTGCATGTCAAACTGGGAACTCTGGGATAGTTGTGGAAAAAGTATTTCTCCAGTTTTCTGTACCCAAGGGAAACTTTCTAAAGTCAAGTGGGGACTTTTCTATTCGCACTGTTTTTTTAAAATTATTATTATGATTATTTTTTTATTATTGGTATTTATATAGCGCCAACTAAATCCGCAGCGCTTTCAAATATGAAAGAGGGAGAAATTTACAATAAATGAGACAATTACACAGCGACACAGGAGCATTAGGTAGATGAGGACCCTGCTCAAACGAGCTTACAGTCTAGATAAAGTGGGGTACAAATACACAACAGGGCAGCAAGGGTGACAGCCACCAAACAAGGTGGAAAAGTAGCAGAGCTGGGGGTGAGAGTGAAGTATGGCTTTTTTAGGAGAGCGAGAGACAGATTTGGATACGTTACTCCGGGAGTCCATAAGCATTTCTGAACAGATGTATTTTGAGGGACTTCTTAAACAATTACCGTATATACTCGAGTATAAGTCGACCCCAATAAGTCGAGACCCATAGTTTTACCCCAAACAACTTGGAAAACTTATTGACTCGAGTATAAGACTACGGTGGGAAATGCAGCAGCTACTGGTAAATTTCTAAATAAAATCAGATCCCCAAAAAATTATATTAATTGAATATTTATTTTGTGTATATAATGAATGCAGTGTGTGTGTATGAATGCAGTTTGTGTAGTGTGTGAGTATATAATGCAGTGTGTGTGTATGAATGCAGTGTGTGTAATATGTTTGTATATAATGCAGTGTGTGTAACAAAAAATATAATGCAGTGTGTGTAGTGTGTGTGTATGAATGCAGTGTGTGTGTGTATGAATGCAGTGTGTGTGTGTATGAGTGCAGTGTGTGTATGTGATACAGAGTGTGTTTGTGTATGTGATGCAGAGTGTGTAACCTTGGTGGGGGGTGGGCATTTTTATTATTTTTTTAAATTATTATTTTAATATTAAATTTTATTTTTAATATTATTATTTTTATTTTAATATTATTACATTTTTTATTTTATTATATTATTATTTAAATTTGTATTTATATTTTTTTGTCCCCCCTTCCTGCTTGATACATGGCCAGGGACGGGGGCTCTCATTCCCTGGTGGTCCAGTGGCATGGGCTGTGTAGGAGGGGGCTGGCAGCTCCTGTCAGCTCCATTTTCCTCCATGCCGGTCAGCTCTCCACTGTAAGTCTCGCGGTCTGAGTGCCTCGCAGAGCGTTGCCACGGTAACCCGTGGCAACGCTCTGATGCCGCGGCTCTCGTGAGATTTACAGTGGAGGAGAAGGGAGCTGACCAGAACGGAGGAGAAGGGAGCTGACAGGAGCTGCAGAAAAGGTAAGTTACAGCTCGCCCGGCGGTCCTGGTCTATATTATGGCAATGTAAGTTGCCATAATACAGACATTGACTCGAGTATCAGACGAGTGTGGGTTTTTCAGCACAAAAAATGTGCTGAAAAACTCATCTTATACTCGAGTATATACGTTAGGTGGAGAGTCTGATTCTTCCTGGGTACTTCCTTGGTCAGTGCTGCCGAAAAAGCAGCCCTGATGTTCAGCGTCCCCACGCTCTGCATGGAGAAGCTGAATTTTCCTCATTGAGATGCATTGATTCAACATTTGGCCTCGCCCCGTGCCGATTTTCGCCAATCCAATGCTTTCCCTGTGGATTGTCTAAAAATCGGCCATTTTGATGATGTCACAAAGGCACTGGAAATAAGGTGAGTTAGAAACTTTTATAGGGGTGCTAAGAGGGGGAAAGCCACCTAAATGGTGGGTTAAACACTATAGGGTCAGGAATACATGTTTGTGTTCCTGACCCTACAGTGTTCCTTTAACTTAATTCACATATAGGAGGCTCCTGCATATATAGCAAGCTATGAACAGTGCAGGAGATAAGAAATTATAATTTAGGCATAATTTGGAATAAAGGAAGTGTAAATATTAGATTTCACATTACATGAATTGTTTAGGAAGGTTGTTTCTTGCAGGGAGCTGTGACTAGGGCTGTAAAGTGATCTAACTTCTAAATAGCAAAGAATCGAGCAGTGAGACTTCAGGGACACGATGTATACACCAAAAATGGCTCATTAAGCTAAAGTTGTTTTGGTGACATTGTGTCCCTTTAATAAAAATGTCCCACACATATTAAAATAAAAAGGGCATAAGCATAAAGCTGTAATGAACACAAGTCAAGTTCAAATACCATAATAATATCACCTGCAACTTGCGTACTTGGTGTCAGTTGCAAAAGATATGCTGTATTTTCATGTAAAAATTAGAGATGCCAATTATAAATTTAATTGGAGTTATTATATTAAATGGAACTCTCTCTCAAAAAATTTTTATAGTGATGCTTCTCATGCGCACGTTCTGAGGTAGGGGAGGGAGGAAGTGAGTTGGGGTGGACAAGGGAGGGGATATAACAAGAAAAAAATTAAGATTTAACTACTGCAGGGATCTCACAAAGAACTGAAGCGTCCTCTTGCAGGCACTGCCAGTATGGCAGACGCTGATAATGTGTGTTGCATGCAATTCACGCTGACGACAGATGTCTTTTTTGCACAGATTTGACATTAGGCAGCCCAGAGCTCTAGAGTTATGTGCTATCCAAGTCACCTGTGCTGGAGATGCAACTATCCCCCGGAACAAAAGTGAAGATATCTCAGCATGTGTACAGTTTTAATCGGAAATTATGCACATGCAGATTCTAAAAGCAGAAATGGTCATGGTAGTTGGAGTAACCCTTCAATATTTCTGTCATGCTCATATTGTAGCCCTTAAAGCCCCACAGCAGTGAGACAGAAAGAATGTGTGTTTGTAAATATTATGATTTGTAATATTTTACATAAAAATAAATGTAACAATCCTCTGACTACAACATTCAGAGGCATTCTTGTAATAATATTATAAATGGCCATATTATATTTCCAACAACTTTGTGGCCTAGAATCTGTGTAGCATTTTTATAAATAAGATGGCCATTTCAAACTTTTCTTTTTTTTGTTAATAGACATAAATACTTTTACACTCTACATGCAATGGGACAACCACCAATAAATATATTAGTTACACATCAGCAATTCGTGTTTATGCTCTGTTGTATGACTTGTTGAATTACAGTGCATGATAATGCATAACTATGTATTTTAAACAAAAACAAAAAATTGTCAAAAGCAAAATACTCCCTCTTCCCTAACCAAAACAACAAACTTTTACATTCAAGGATAGCAAATCTGCCTCCACTAAACATGAATGTACTTTAAGCAGGTTGGACCTTACACCAGCAAGTTACCACCATCCAAATAGAGTTGGCTGTGCTGATCACATGATCGGTCACGTGTCCGGAAAGGTTTGGTTACCATGGCGACTCCAAGCTTGCGTTCCAGCAACATGGCGGCTAGTGAAAGTGGTGTGCAGGTAACTGCCTTACAACAATTATATAGGTTATTATTTGTGCAAGATTATAATGAATTCAACCCACAGTGTGTGGTGTGAAATGTAGATATAATTCAGCGTTTGTGGTGTGCTTGGTAATGATAAAATGTGCAGAGAGTTGCTGAAGAGTCTGTATTAGGGCTTTTTTCGTGTTATGCAGGTTTAGACAGGAAATACACAGTTTACAGTAGGGATGCATATTACAGAAGAGAGACATATTTTGCACACACACAAAAAAATAATAATAATAAAAAGTAGAAACTCTGTGATGGTCATTTTTTAAAAATTTATTTGCAGAGAGAAATGTATTTTTATTATTGTTTTTGCTGTGGTAGGAAGACTGCTGTAGTTGAATGGGTTACAAACTTTCTAGTTTGATCCCATGTATGTGAGATGAATGGAATTACTTGTTTTTTGTTTCTTAGATAAGAGAAAGGAAATAAAAAAAAAAAGCAAAACAAGTTAAAAAAAAAAAAAAACCCAAACAAATCATGAATTGTAACTATGGGGACATTTAGCTCAGGAATTCATTTTCAGGTGATCCCCCAAAAAATCACCAGAAAAAAAATGTCACATTATAACATTCACTATTTTTGATAATAGTGCTACCAATTCAATAAATTGTATAGTGGGTGGCAGAGGATTAAATTAAAATAGGCAAATTTCCCAGCTCCTGCTAATCTAAGAAAGCGTATCACAGTTGTTCCACATATTCAGGGGTGAGAATTCCTATGTCCACTGCCTTCATCTGTGGTCTCGTGGAGGGCAAATGTTTTAAAGGTAAACCCCACATATGGTTTGAGTTTAGGTGGTAAGACACTAGTAAAACTCTTTCTGGTAATGAGATTATTTTAAGAAACTTTACTAATTAAGGATTGACCATTCAGTTTCCTTCTAGTAACAGTTGTGTTTTATTTTCTTTTTCTTTTTGTTGTTGTTTTTTCTTTTCAAACTGATGCCCTGTGTTCATTGGGTGGGAATTAAAGGGGTCAATATCCGGTTTGAATACATGTACAAACCAACCTTTGTTTTTCAGTGTTTTGATAGTTTTTGATCCCAGGACAAAGTGTTAATAATATAGTTTGTCCTTTTTTCTAGATGATCTAATTTGCTATATATATATTATAAAATGTAAAGACTTCAAAGATGTTTTAAACCACTTAGAATTTTGTCTCTCAACCCCATCTACAGGAAGATGTTGTTAATGAAAAGGAGGATTCTCTGACCTTCGCATTTCTCTCCCTAACACAAGTTAGTTCTCTTTTAGAGCAAGATGTGAATGGAGTACAAAGGTATGCACAATTATTTTATCTTTGTTATTCTTATAAGGTGTCAAACATTTCACTAAAAAGAACTATCAAAGCGGCAATCAGAAATGGGACCTCTTACAAACTCACTGTCAAGGTGCCCTAAACACACAGTTAAACACACTTCCAGACACACTGATGGAAAAACATGGGTATGCATTCCAATCACACAGATAAATGCACAGGTAATCTTTTAAAGACACACGGTTACATTTTGACAGACAAAACGATAATCGTGTGTGGCAGAACTTACCACCAATTTTATGTTTTTTCCCCTCATTTTACCCTTTTTCCGTTCGGGAGTACTGCATATGAACGATATCCATTCATCTCCCGAATGAGGACCACCCCTGTCCCCCATTAGAACGTTCACACCACCCCTGGGTGGTCCGCCATTTTGTATAACCGAATGCACGTGGTCAACAAAAGAATGGCGGCTATCTTGTCTCTTGAACGTGGGCTGTAGTTGGTCGTCAAGTGCCTCAAACTCTTTTCAGCGAAGCAATCACACAAACCCTGGTAAAGATTAGACCGCTGTTTCCGACCGCCTATGCGAACGACGTTCGGGAGATAGGAACTGCTGAACAGGGGGAACATTCGTATCCTGAAATGAGGAGATTCCCTTGCATGGTGTTCGCACAGGAACCCCCAAACAGAGACCGGCCAGGACACCTGTTTCCCTGGAACTGTTTTGGGCTACCGCCACGTGTCTGGGTAGTCAAAACTTTACCTTGAGGGCATTCCCGCTTCACAGAACCGATCTGAGTGATCTTTGGATATGTTATACACTCAGATTGGGGCTATCCAGGGATGTACTTTTTGTGGGGTTCCTGAGTATGATGGGGGCACTTTTGGGGTACTGTATATTTTGTATGGATTTTCTGTACCTGAGAGATAATTTGATTATATGTTTTTCTCACGCAATTATTTCTCAGGCACACAGGATCCTGGGATTGAAAACCCTGTATTTGTGTGTTGGAGACCGCATGTAGGGGTCTGGGCATGAAAGCCGTGTGTAACCTGAATAAAATCAGTTGCCTCCCAGAACTATGTTTCGTCTGGTTACTGGGGGAATGGATGGTTTTAATGGTTCCAGAGTGAAGGAATTAGCGAAGGTAACCAGTCGGGTTACCAGTGGTCTGCTACAATCGTTATCAGATAAAGATTGAAACGAGTAATACTACAAACTGGCAGATATACTCACACTGCCAGATATCCACTCACTGGCTAATATTAAAGTTTATGTTGATTTTAACCATCTAATCCTTTGGGTACCATTGGCTGCAAGAAGGTGATTACCATGGGGTCCATGGGGGAAGCAGGCTGTCCCTTCATTCACATGCAGTTTTCTTTATGTACTTGGAATAAGTAATCTGATATCACATCTTCCAAGTGGTACTGCACAAGAAAGGGGGGCATTTTTATTTAGGGCCCACCCGTCTCTCAAAGGTGGGGGCCTGGGGGGAGGACAATAGCCCCCCCTCGTTATCATTTATGGCCCCCACCTGCCGCTCAGGGGTGGGGGCCGGGGGGAGGACAATAGGTTCCCCCCCTCATTTTCCTTTATGGCCTCCACCCACCACTTGGGTGGGGGCAGTAGATCCCATCCCCCCCTCATTTTCCTTTATGGCCCACCCGGTGCTCAGGGGTGGGGGCCGGGGGGAGGACAATAAGCCCCCTTATTGTTATTTATGGCCCCCACCCATCGCTCAGGAGTGGGGGCCCCCACCCGCTGCTCAGGGGTGGGGGTCTGTGGGAGGGGTACTAGGGTTTTTTTTTTTTTTTTAACAGTGAGCAGCCAGAGGCATAGCGGTATAGCGCGTAGGGGCAGAATTTACTAATACTAAGTAATCTGGTAGTTATCTACTAATATGCAGCCGCGGCACGAATAGGAACGGAGTTTCATTCATTAGAACGAAATTCCAATATGAACAAATTCCTGAATTGTGTCCTAACACGAATGAACAAACTGTTCTCATTCTGTTAGGACGCAATTCGGCAGTTTTGCCGGCGTCCTGTCTAAATGACAGGACATTCAGGAATACTGACAGGCAGCATTGCAGGAACAGGGAGGAAAGCTTAGAATTGTGGAAAAATTTCTCTGACCACCGGAAGTGAAGCACACTTTGCTCATCCGCTGGTCAGAGATGGTCAGGCATAGGAAACCTCCATAAGACAAGTAGTCCCTACTTTGTTTTATGTTTTAAAGAAAACTAGAGCAGACAGAAAGAAATGAAGAACAGATCCTGACAGAGGGAGAGAAGAGAAATCGATTAGAGAAAGGTAAGTTCGGCATGACAGTGCCGCTTTAAATACAATGTAAAAGTACAGCATGCAAATTATGAAGAAGTGCAAATTTTAGGCCAAAATAGCCAAACTTTAAAAATCTTGCAACATATGCTTTTTATTTAATTATTTATTTTAAAAGATATTCTACTGCCCAAATACCAGAATAAAAAAAATCACTATTTAGTAGACATATCCCCAATTAATACATGCATGCATTTAATTATGTATTTTATTCATTGGTGTATATCTATAAACAGCTTGCAAAAGCTGCATCCTATGTAAGCCCTTCCCTTCTTTTCCAGCCCAGAATGTGGCTGTCCAATCATAGACTTCCCATTGCAGCTTGATGAGAAGTCCTTGCAAGGCAGGTGCAATGGGCATTTGCCTGCCTTATGTGTTTAGCTCCACTGAGCTAAAGAGCTAAAGAAGCAGTACAGATTGCCTGATTGACAGCCAGTGCAGTGTAGCAAAGTTTATTTATAAAAATACCAATTTCAATAGAAATCTGCACTTTTTGAAATGACAAAAAGTGGACACTCTCTTCGAACATAAAGCACTTTAGCTTGCTGAAGTGCTTTAAGTTTTTGAGTGTTCTATTACTGGCTAACAGGGTTAGTCATTAAAAACAGGTGGATAACATACATTTATGGTAGGATCTTGAATTTAGTTGAAATGAGACAAAAATATTGACCGAAACCTTTCAATAACATTGAATCGAGGCCTTAATTCACTATAAATTTGAGTTTTTACTGGATAATCCAGTGGGTGTTTTTCATCAGGCCCAAACATTAGAACATTGCAAAGCCTCGATTTTATTCTGACGTTTAGACACAATACAACCCATAATAATTTAAATAATAAATACACATAAAGTGTCTCTTGAGTCACATCCATGAAAAATAAAGTATGAGCTGATTGATTGATGAGTTAAATGCATACTGTTAAACAAAAGTGAATATTTTCTGACATGTTTTATTATCTTTAACATAAATATATTAAACCGTAAAACAGTTGATGTTCTTAAATTTGTTCGCTGTAATATTTCCACCAGTTTATCTTTTGTTTAATGTAGCATGTATTTTATTGCATTATCTTTCAAATGCTAAAGTATGACCTAAAAGCAACAAAAAAAATAAGACAGATCAGTTAAGATACTTCTCAAGGAAGGGATATTGCAATTTAAAAATTAGAAAATTGATGGTAGCTGACAATGATTCTGCAAAATATGGTTAAAGTAGCAATGACAATACTTCTTAGGGGCTGTAAACCAATACTTTCCATTTATGATTTATGGATTTTTTCATGCTGTGCTTCCAAGATTTATTATCAGTCATCCCATTATTATAATGTTAGAATTATTCAGTAGATTTGTTTACTTAAAGTGGCTTTGTGTTTTTTTTAACCACTTTTTACAAAATTGATATTTGTTTAGAAGTTACCTTAAACATTGTCCTTGGTTTTTGGGTTGCAGTGCACTGGTGCCAATTATTGGGTGGTTCCATTAAAGAGTTACTCCAAACACCATGATCACGTCAGTGATTTTAAAGTGGTCATGGTTCCTTAAGTCTTGATGTTCAGCATTATGCAGTATTGCATAAATTATATAAAAGTAGAATTAACCCAACTTGAAAATATAGAGAAGAAAAGAAAAAAAATTGAACCAGGGACAGGAATAGGGAAAAGAAAGGAAGAGGAACTAATAACAAACCCAGGATAGAAGAAAAGGGTGCGGGGGGGAGCTAGGGGTAGAGTTGTTAAAAGAGAATGTTATGGTAGAGGTGAGTACTCAGTTTGTGTTGGATAGGTAGGTTTGCCAGGTATGCCTAATGTTGGTGCATTTCAAAATTAGCTGGTAGTCCCTCCAGGGAACTAACATAGCTAACCTAGGCTTGAGTGGAGGCTGAGCTTGAGTATAGTAATAGGAACCTATCCCTCCATTTAAAGATAATGACAGCCTGTAGGGGTGTCTGCTTTGCACCACTTGGTTGAATGGGTGAAAAGACGGAGACGGCATCTGATTGGACACAATTGTCATGGGAGGAATCAGAATCCAGAAAGTGCTTTCTGGCACATTTAACCCTGATGAAGGTGCTACGTAGCACCGAAACACGTGTTGTCTTTTTAGTTATTTTATTTCTCTCACAGTTATCACGTTATGTGTGGGCTGAGGATGTGTTCTTGGGATATAGTTTAGTGGTTGTGAAGCGAGTACAGGATTAAGCTTGTAGTAATTTTTAATTTGTAACATTTCTTCCTTGATAAGTAGCCTAATTGATCTGTCTCTCTTTTATTTTATTTTTTTATATGCCTAGTGGCAACTGAGGTATTAAGCAGCATAGTGTCAGGCTCCCGCCTCGCGCACCATATGTCCCTCTATCCCGAAGGAGATGCTGTGCCAGAGTGCGACTGTACCGCCAGGCTGTCCACCAACGCCGGCTGCTCTTAGCTCTTCATGGGACAGGCAGTGCCATTTCTCAGGCACGGCACTTCAGATGGAGGGACTGCCTGCTCTTTTTCATGATAGAGGGATGGAGCACCAAAGTGGATCTTAAGGCGCATGCGTGCCGAAGCAAGGCCCTCTTAAAGAGACAGCAGGCGGGGACCAACACAGGGGATGTACATGAAGGTGGAGCTACATTAAGTGGACATACCTCCTCTCCCTATTTAAACTCTTTGCACAGTTGTACTGTGCTCCTGTTGTGTTCATACCTTCAGGGCCTGTCCTGTTTACTTCCTGATATTTGACTCCTGCTTGACTCCTGACTACGATCCTGTGTCGTCTGTCCTGACCTTTGGCTTTTCTGAATATTCTTCATCTGATCCATTTGTACTGCGTTCCTTATTGTAATTACTGCCTTTTCTGCATGTTGGGCTTTATCTACTAAACAGCACCCTAACACACATATGTGGCTATTCATTAATATATAATTTCTTTAGACAGACTAATGGAAGGGAGCTGTTTCCCCTTGATATTAAGAAGAATGCAGACTTTTCAGGGTTTTCAGTTGATATGAGATTTAGTCTACTTGCCTTCTTCTTTATATAGCCAGGGACAGCAAGCAAGATTAAGATAATTTTTTTAGTAGACCAGAGTGTTAGCCACTATTAATATCAAGAGATTGCTATTAATTAGCAAATTCTGTTCCTTCTTTTTTGTATCTGAAGCAATAAGTAACAGCAATAGGAATACAATGTATCAGTGTTCTAATTGGCTTGTGATTAATAAAGCTTTCTGTAGACATTGATACCTAGGTTACTTTTAAGCTGATTTCATATTCTTGCCCATTTTTACTTACTTTGTCTCCTCCTTCTACAGTGTATATACATTTTGTTGAATCTCCTTTATTATTTTGTGAGTTCTTGCTATTAGGGTAGAAGCCCAGGGTAGTGCTGGCACTATCCCCACTGACTAGTCACTACCATCTAGATGATGTTATAGTGTGGTGATTTCAAAGTTATTTCCTTTTTGATTTCTTGACACAGCCATCAACAAAAGTCCTCCGCATTACCTCCATGAGGTTGTGTCCTCATAATTTCACCTATAGGTCAGCATTCACCTATAATTACCCCCAACACATTTTATCCCCTGAGTGGAATTTTGATTTAGCAATTATGACACCTGGGAAGCTCAATAGTATAATAATAATAACATTTGGGCCACAATACTATCTCTCAGTTTAAAGCTATTACCTTTAAAGCCAGGCAAAGTTGTTTGTATACCCAAATAAAATGCAGGATTTTGTTTCTGCAGATCAACAATATTATCCAGAACCTAAGCTAATGGTAGGAATTTAAACAGATACAGTATAATAGGCAAAACCACCATTTTGAAAGCATAAAAAAGGCCCAACAACAAAATATATCAGAGTGTTTCCAAGTTTTTAGCAATCCTTTGAGTGATGCATACACAGAAAGGTAATGTATTGAATATAGATCTTTTCTGCTTGAATGAGCTTTTTCCCTAGGTAGCCCATGGCGTGGACACAGATCCTAAATCTGAACGACTCCATTAGTTATGTAATCATGTCATGATTAACTCCTACATTTAGGTCAGAACACTTAGAACGGTTCCATATGGCATACACATTAGGAAGTGAGACAAGGGCAGTTGAGTATCATCAATGATAAGGTTGATGATATAGCATCATGGGCCACTTTTCAGGCAAGGATAGGAGCTGAATAGGGAGATGGTCAAATAATAATTGGGAAGTAGGATTAAAGGGAAGGAAATAAGGAGATAGGATGAGGAATGTTTAGGTAGGATTGGATAGTTAAACAAGAAAAGCATTGGAGAGCAATAGACAAGAAGAGCAATGGATATAGATTGTAGGCATAGAAGAACGAATAGAAGCATAAAAATGGCTAAAAACATTCATACCTGATAACTCTTTTTAGAAGTTGGGCAGATCAACAATTCCTTTCTTAAAATACATTATATTTATGTGGACAAGAGCCTTCACAATGCTCACCCTTAAACTGACTATGGATGATTGGTATTGTAGGTTCTGATGTTGTCAGCCCATTAATGCATTGAAAAACTGCACAAAATTAACATGGTTAAAGTTGAATGAGAACTACCACTTTAGCTGCACTGTGATGACTGGAAGCAGAGTAGGCTCCAGCCATTGTTAATATAATGTGAACGGTTTGCGCAACATCAATCTAACCTGGCAGCCAAGGAGAGTGGACTGGAATGTGCATGCGTGAACAATGATGACTTCACTCTACTAGTTAGTGGTGGCGCAAGACGCTGTTGAGTGAGCATCTGTACTGTGTGGTCGTCGCATTCAAAATGACTGAGCGAGTAGAGCAACGAATCTGCATCAAACTTTGCGTTCTGCTTGAACATCCCTTCATGGAAACTATTCGGATGATTCAGAAGGCTTTCGGTGACAATGCAGTAAGTGCAGAACAAATAAAAGTGGTTGAGTATCTGTTGAAAGATTTGGTGTCCTGCAACGTCTGGCTTTTCCAAAACTAAAATAACTTTGGAAAGGGAAGAGATTTCAGACAATCGATAAGATTCAGGTAAATATGACAAAGCAGCATATGACGGCATCAACAAAGGGTTTTACAGAGTGTTTTGAACATTATAAAAGACACTGGGAGAACTGTATGGGTCCCAAAGTGCCTACTTTGATGGGGATATGTACAATGTTTCTTGTATCGTGTCTTCTTCAATAAATGTCACTATTTTTCATGTTACATGGCTGGATACTTTCCAGACAGACCTCGTTTGTATATAACCACCTGAAATCACCCGTTTATACAATGTGGAAATATAGAAATATAAATAAAATCAACTTAGCTTTATAAAGCAACACAGCTTCAAGCTGGCAGCCACTTGCAATCAATCCAGAATGCACATACATATATATAACACACACACACAAAATAGACATGCTACACCACAACCTAATAAAGCAAATAATCTTGCCTTGTTGCAAAGCCGCGTTGGAAATATAAAATAAACAAAAAAGAATGTGCCTTCAACTCCAGCGTTTAGTGTTTAAAGTGGTATTATCAAAACATTTGGATCTTAATCAAGGACCTTGGATCGACTGGGTCAAAACGTTGATATTTTTTCACACAGATGACATTGTTTTGATAATACCACATTAAACACTAAACACTGGATTTGGAGACCTTTGAGTGCACTCTCATATTTGTTTTTTTTTATGCACTCATCTGAACATGCATACATTATAGGGTGCTGCTGGAGCCAATTAATACAACATATAATATCCAGCGCACTCGCTTATTCACTAAACAGTAATTTCAGATACCACAGAATGTAATAGTTGTATTTAAAAACACCTCATCTAGGCAAAAAATATTGGGGGTTTAGTTACAATATATGATCATACATTGCATAAGCCTGCCACAACGTCAATGTACCCCATTCTTGGCAGGGCCTACTCCCAGTGGCATCCTATAATGTATACATGTTCATGTGAGTGCAGACTAGTGTGATATTGTTACAAACAAAACATATGGCACTCTTATTAGTAGCACTCACAATAGTGATGTTTACAATCGCCTTTAAGGTGCCTCCCTGATGGTGATGGGGACCAACAGCTTTCTCCTTTCTTGGAGTCACCTCATTCTGGAACGGAAGCAGTAAATTAATTTAGTGGCAAAAAAACGTGTATAATTAAAACAAGTCTGAATAAAACCAACAAACAAATTTAAAAAAAAACAACAACAAAAAGTACTACTTGCTTATAGCAGTAGAAAGAGGGAAGTGCTCATGCCATTGTACAGAACACTGGTGAGACCGCACTTGGATTATTGTACGCAGTACTGGAGACTGTATCTTCAGAAGGATATTGATACTTTAGAGAGGGTTCAGAGAAGGGCTACTGAACTGGTTCATGGATTGCAGGATAAAACTTACCAGGAAAGGTTAAAGGATCTTAACATGTATAGCTTGGAGGAAAGACGAGAGGGGGGATATGATAGAAACATTTAAATACACAAAGGGAATCAACACAGTAAAGGAGGAGACTATATTTAAGAGAAGAAAAACTACCACAACAAGAGGACATAGTCTTAAATTAGAGGGACAAAGGTTTAAAAATAATATCAGGAAGTATTACTTTACTGAGAGGGTAGTGGATGCCTTCCAGCTGAAGTGGTAGAGGTTAACACAGTAAAGGAGTTTAAGCATGCGTGGGATAGGCATAAGGCTATCCTAACTAAGATAAGGCCAGGGACTAATGAAAGTATTTAGAAAATTGGGCAGACTAGATGGGCCGAATGGTTCTTATCTGCCGTCACATTCTATGTTTCTATGTTGTTTCGTTTATATAGAACAGGGATAGGCAACCTTCAGCACTCCAATTGTTTTGGACTACATCCCCCATAATGCTCTTACAGCCATAATGCTGTCAAAGCGCCAAGGGAGATGTAGTCCACAACATCTGGGGTGCTGAAGATTGCCTATCCCTGATATAGAGCTTACTCAGTGACGCCCTATAAAAGGATGTTGGGGGATGGATTAGGCTGCTCTTTGCATTTATTGTTGATTTTAACATTTTATGCTATATATTGTATACTTTTTATAGATATTCAGCTGTATCCAAACTTTATGTATATATATATATGCTCCAGGAAAGTGTCAATCCTTTCAAAAATGATTTGGCAAGTTATCATGATACAACACCAGGTGACTCTTGTCACTATAACCACTACAAGGAGCTGTACTGCTATTTGTATTTAGAGTGTTTTTTCTTTTTTTTAACACAAATTGTCCCTTACATGTTTACACCCAAGGAAATAGGGATACATACTTATTCTTTTCATAGATTTATTTATGTCATTGATTTACAAAATCGGAATTGCTTGTAAAATGATTAGATATTTTAACAGTATGAATTACTATAGAAAAAGTGATTGTTCGTGTTGTATATCTATTGCTGTTTACGCAAGAAACATCTGCATTAAGATTTTCATGATGATGTATCTGTTTATGCTATATTTAGAAATTCTGCATTATGCTGTGCTGAAGCAAATTATAAAAATAAACAATTTATCATGGCATATGTTACACTTTTTTTTTTTTGGGCTGTTTGTTCACCTGCGTTGTACAAGATGTAGATGGTACAAATGATGCTGTTATGTGTCAAGATTCTAACACAAACTGACTTAATAGGTCGTCATGCATGATAATGCAATAACCCTTCAATAACATATATTTTCTTGTAGCGGGAAAATGTTAACATCTGTAGGAAGTTCTGAAATATTTCCCTGGGAGATCTTAATGTTCTGCATAATAATATAAAAACTATGGTTTATAAAATATACATGGTAATGCATTTTGTCTGCTATAAAACCAATTTTTTTTTTGTTTTTCTAACACTCCCTGCATGGAAAATCATACATCTTTCTGATTTTGTATTGTTTGTGGCTGATATTATTTAAACCTCAGTAGTGTTAAATATTATTGCTTTATAGGAACATTTAGAAGAATTTGGTAACCACTACTAGCATAAATGTCTTGTACATATTTCTTGTTTATTTCTCTTTGTTAATACCGTGCAGAATATGTTAGAATTTTTTAATTAAGTAATAAAATCAATATGAATCAAAAACTGCATATTTGGGGATGTGACATAATTTAACTAAAAGGTACAGTAACTTGTGATGAGATAAAGCAGATATAGTACTTATAGTGTCTCTTTAAAGGGACACTATAGTCACCAAAACATCTTTAGCTTACTATAGCAGTTATGGTGTATAGATCATGGCTCTTAAATCTCACTGCTCAATTATCTACCATTTAGGAGTTAAATCACATTTGTTTCTGTCTATTCAGCTCTAGCCACACATACCCTGGCTGTGAGTGACACAGTCTGCATGAAAAAATGGTTTCATTTTCAATCAGATGTTAACTTACTTTAGAAGTCAGTATCTCCTACCCTATAAACATACAGAAGGCTACTGCAAGGTCTAGCAAGCTATTAACAGTGCAGGAGATGTCATTCTACTTTAACCCCTTAAGGACACATGATGGAAATATTCTGTCATGATTCCATGTTATTCCAGAAGTTGTGTCCTTAAGGAGTTAAACAAAACTTGCACAAAGGAAGGGTAAACATTAGATCTCACTTTAAGTGTTCATGCAAGCAGGGGAATGTGACTAGGGCTGCATAAACAGTGTGATTTAACTTCTAAATGACATAGATTTGAATAGTATGACTGCAGAGTATGCTTTATACACCAAAACTGTTTCATAAAGCTAAAGTTGTTTTGGTGACTATAGTATGTCTTTAAGTCTCAATGTATATTTATTGTGGTGCTTTAAAGGAGGAAGCATGACAAAGTCACAGTTAAAGTACTGCATATCCAAGTGGGCAGTATATGTGTAGATCAAAAAGTAATTTTTCTTTATGTTGGTATACGTCCGTTGCCAGATGTAGTAAGCTCTTTAGCAAGAAAAACTACAATTTATTTTTCTATTGATTTTGAATTTTTTGTTACTAAACACTTTTGGAAGCACAAATATTTTGAGATATGAGTATATGCTCAGTGCATGCCTATCCGTATTCACAGATTAATTGTCCAACCTCACATTTCTTATTTACAGCAAAATGGAAGAGATCCTTAACTTTAGTGAGTGCCAAACAAATCTAAAGGAAGCTGTACTAGTGGACTATTATGTATCTGGATTCTGGTGGGGAAAAGAGAGAAATTTTACATCCCTACAGCTAGCAGGGTTCATGGAGTTACTACATAATCTAATGGACAATCTTGAAAGTAAGTAGATGATCAATGGACAAAACAGACAAACAAAAGCAAATGCTAGTTCTGTATGTATAAGTGTATCTTCCTGACATTAATATCCTTGTTTATGGTCAAAGTCACCAACACGAAAATCTAAGATGTTAAAGAGAATGGCCAGTATTACTGGTTCTTAGAGTGGGCCAGGCTTGTGGAATGTTAGAGTCACCTAGACCTTTTAATCTCAGTGAAGTGGTCTGGGTGCAGTGACCCTATCCTCCTAACCCTGCAATGTAAAACATTGCATTTTTTTCTTCAGTAGAGGCACTTCCGTGGCACTGACAGAGTAAAACAGGTGTGTTCAGAGGCGCTTCCGTGGCACTGACAAAATACAACAGGTGTGTTCCGTCGACGGGCCACATGCAGCCCTGAGACGCTTGTCATCTAGTTGCCATCTAGGTGGTGAGGGAGGTAGGGGCCAATTACTTACTGTGCACTCGCTGCACAGCTCCCCCGCGCCCTGCAGTGAGCCGGAACCTGGAATATGATGTCATCCCGGCATCGGCATCGCTACAGGCCGCACAAGGGACCTGTGCAGAAAGAGCACAGAGATCCCAGAACCAAACACTGGCCACCAGGGAGAGGATCCACTCCAGCCCTCCCAGAGCAAGGTAGAGGGCCTAGGTGGACCTCTTAATAACTAAATGTGTGTATGAATATGATTATGATTTTATGTGTGTGTATAAATAAGTAATTATGTGTGGGTCTGTGATTGTGTGTGTATGTATGTGATTGTGTGTATAGGTCTGTGGTTGTGTGTGTGGGTCTTTGATTTTGTTTGTATGTCTGTGTGTGTATATCTGTTATTATGTGGGTGTGTGTATGTCTGTGATTGTGTGTGTATATCGATGATTATATGTTTAAGTGTATGGATGTGGGTGGGTCTGTATGTGTTTGTGTGGGTCTGTGATTCTGTGTGTGTGTGTATGTATATCTTTGTGTTTAGGTCTGTGATAGTGTGTGTCTGGGTCTGTGATTGCGTGTTTATGTGTGTGTGTATGTATGTGATTGTGTGTATATGTCTTTGATTGTATGTATGTGTGGGTCTGTGATTGTGTGTAATTATGTGTATGTGTGTGTGATTATGTATATGTGTGTGTATGTCTGTGTATATATCTGTGGTTATGTGTGCATGTGCGTGTTTATTAGATAGCTACCTAGTTTGGTAACCTTAAATATGGCAATCCCACATAAGGATAACAAATAAGTGAGTTCTCTATGAAACAATTGAAATATAAAAATTAAGAAAAGGGCTTTTAAAGTTTTATTACTTATATACATTAACTATATTATATATTTGATGTGTGGCCCAAGACAATTCCTCTTCACTAAATGCAGCCCAGGGAAGCCAAAAAGTTGGGCACCCGTAGAGTAAAACTTGGCCACATGATTGATTCAATGCTTTTCCATGGGAGATTTTAAATGTGATTGCAGCTCATGCATGTTAGGTCCCCTAACATGCTTCTCTATGAGGAGAATTGGATTGGACATCGGCAGAGGAGGCCATGCCTCCTCCGTCACGTTGTGGGAGTCGGAGAAGTAAGTGGTGCTGAGGGAGCCTCGGTACTAAAAAAAAAGGTAAATAAAACTTTATTTTATTACTCTTATACTGCAAGTAGTTGGCAAAACAAGGGGGATGGAGTAGCAACAGGGACACTATAGCATTATGATTAAAGATTTGTATTCCTAACGCTATAGTATTCCTTTAACATATAAGACAGATCAAGAATGGTCAAATAACAAACTGAAGTCAAAGGAGTACATAGTACCCAAAGGATGAGTAAGCAAGCCAAGGTCATGATAGGAGAGATCATATTAGTCAATATGCAAGCCAATGTTAGAAATCAGAATAGTAAATGACACATACTAGTGCACTTTTGGGCTACAAGAGACCACGACAGGGCACTAATCTCTTAAAGTATATATAGGCCGCCTAGCATCTTATATCATCAGTATGGGGCCAAAAGGAATGTTTCTCATCATTCTTGATGCTGAAATGGTGAACGGCTTTGCATCTAGCAAGAAACTAACGCTGGTGTGAGGAGGGTACACTGACAATTATCAAGCTAGTGACAGATTGTCTAAGTGACTGTGAACATTCTGGATATGTGACATTTCCAAGAGTTGTGTAACAGAACTCTCTGGGTTTTTACGTGCAACAATTTTTAAAACCATTCTTCAGAGCCAAAAAAGTCGTTATTGGACCAGCTTTAAAAATCCCTAAAATTTTGAAGTAGTTAACTCATTGTATACTATTTTAAGTAAAACAATGTTTGCTCTGTTGCTCCAAGTGGGAGGGCTTAAAATATTGTGAAATTATGATGAATTATAATGAATCGAGACAGATGGTTTATCACCATTTATGATTTAGTAACATTAAGCATAAAATCTTGTTAAATACTGTAACAAATAACATTGTAACCCTTTTCAGAAATATATGAGGTTTGCTGATTATATATCAAAACAATTACTTTTTTCTGTTGAGGTGAGAGGAATGTTAGAAATTGCTTCAACCGTGGTTTGAAACAACCATTGCAGTTCAGCAAACTGGATTATTCCACAGTAGACCATTTTAGTCTTCAAGTTCATCAGACATCCCATTCCACAGACTTCAAAATAGTGCCTATCACCAATTAACTGCCCATTATACAACAAATAAAAGATTGAGATTACGTATGTTGTGCGTATGATAACAAATGTTGGCTTGGCCTTGTATTTCAGGTTGCTGTGTTTGAGTTGGACCAAGAGTTCTAGATAACAATTTTCCACCCCCGTAGAACTTCCTTCTGCTGTAAACCAAGTACACTGTGTGGTATAAAACAGATTGCAACCTTATAAGCACAATTTTATACCTCCAATATTTTTCCAATTGAAGCTACAATTAGCTACAGGGTTACTACACAACATTCGTTAATAAATTATTCAGAACTTGTGTCACCTGTTCTGCAAGTAAGCTGTTTCTTTATTTCTTTAACTTAAACATGTACTCATTATTAACTAAAAAAGATTTAATACTTAATATACTTAATAAAATATATGTATGTTTGTTTTTTATTTGGTTTGATATTGATTTTTGTTTTGGCCTTCAAAAAGCACAATTGATGACTAACAAGCAGATTTTTCTGACTCCCCATGGTGCAGGGCGAGATTTACATATTACATGACTCTAGGTATATATATAACTATAACTATAATATATATATATATATATATATATATAGGAAAATGCAGATAAAGTGAGGTTAGTTAATTTATTAAATGGACATTGAAGGCATAAAAATAAGTTAAAGCATATTTCCATATGCTTTAACTGAATTTTAGACTAGACTAGAGTGGGGTTCAATTTAGTATTTGGTTACAGGGGTGTTTAGAATTAAGTTTAGCAATATAGTTGTATAAGATTGAGTATTGGGGTGTATTGGGTGTTTAGTTTTTAGAGTTTTATTTTCAGGTTTAGATTTTGAGAATTTGTGACTAAGGAAATGTTTTTTTATTTAGGCTTTGGGAAGGGTTAAATTTAGCTCTTTCCCATGTATGTTTTCTGTAGTTCTGTCAGCCTCCTATGATTGATTGTTGAGCTGCAGTGGATGATATACAGTTTGCATCACTGAGTTTATTGTCCCTGCTCCTCTTGCAAGTATTTTCCTGTTTGAAAGACTGTTATTGGACAAATGGGAAGTTTTCCCTTCCATTACTGTCCAGTCTCACACACAGACACTGGGGAAGCTGGGGCAGAACTGAGTATTATACATTCTATAACAGTCCCTGCAGCTTTCTGTGATCAAGTACAGGAGGTTGACTGGACTACTTATGAAACTTGCCAATGCTCCTGGTATTTATCTCTCCACTAGCCTAATTAAGCTCTAAAAAAGGCACATTACCAGTCCTGAAAACAGGCACCCCCAAAAGGACATGTACCTACTCTACCTATTGGGAAATCTAGCCTTGCATGGCAGTACTTTCGGCTGAATTTGGAATGGCTGAAATTGTAGAAAATAGAGGTTACTTTAGTCAGCCATAGAGCTATAAGGGCTGAACAAATCGAGTATACTGTAAAAAGAATGAGTATTTTCATAGAATCATGAGATGACAAACATCTAATGTATAAGAATCTGTTTTTATCTTAAGAGCAAGAATTCGGGAGTTGGGGATACTTCATATTTTTTTTTATTGTATATTCACTGTAATATCCAATACGATGTGTTTTTTTCTCTGACTCTGCCTCTTCCCCCCCAACCACTGTCTGTTGACGTCTCCCAAGGTTCTGTCCTTGGTCCCCTACTGTTCTCTATCTATACTGCCTGTGGCAAACTCCCCCTTTTAGCTGCATTTGCCACGAGTTTTTGGAGGGGACTACTTGCCAGCCTTTTATCCTGTGTGACTATGGCCCCTTTAAGTTACTGTGGTTAAATATGCTATTTATGCCTGTTTGGGATTTTAAACAATTGTTCTTTAAACTTTCAAAGTGGTTGAAGTGGAATTTTAAACAACCGAACAGCCGGACCACACACAAGTGGAGTGTGCAGCCAATTTACCTCCCAGGCTGGGAGTTAACTGCAGCCAAAATGACTAACGGCTGGGTGGTCACCGTTCATATAGTCGAACACATGGGGGTGGGCATCTTGTTTAGTCGAACGTGTTTAGCGGTGTTTTGTCGTCGAGTTCATAGAACTCAAATTGGACACGCGACAGCACGAACACCGCTGAACTTTACCTTCTCCGGAACTACAAGGGATTGCTATGCTCTTCATAATCCCTTGAATAATCACTAAGCTCTTGTAAGAGCTTGTTCCTGTTCCTGCTTCACTCTCTGGGGAAAGAGAGGATCACCCACTGGAACCTGGAGCCTTGTGGTAGGTCCAGGGTGGGTAGGCGACTGCGAGACTCCAACCAAGCATCGGCGGTTTGTGGGGTCTGCAGTGCTTATGGTGTCAAGTGGAGTGCTTGGAGCCCTCGGGAAGCACTAAGAGCATCTGTCAACGGACGTACCCAGTCGGGGGGCCAGGCGATCCGTTACACTGCCTCCCTTGGTAAACTCTTTAGCTTCCGTTATCATTTCTATGCAGATGACAAGCAAATCTACCTGTCTTCTCCTAATCTCTCTCCGCCCATCTTGACTTGTGTCTCTGACTGCCTCTGCTATTTCTAACTGGATGGCTGCCCACTTCCTTAAACTTAACTTGACCAAAACTGAAATTCTAGTCTTTCCTCCCTCAAGTGTTGCTACTCCTGTGTCTCCCTCCCTCCAAGTCAATGGTGCTACCATCAGCTCCACCACGCAGGCTAGGTGTTCTCTTTGACTCCAACCTCTCCTTCACGCCTCATGTTCAGTCTATCGCCAAATCCTGTCGTTTCCATCTCAAAAACATTGTGTGCATCCGCCCCTATTTATTGCTGGATGCGGCTATGGTGCTGGTCCATGCTGTTGTTCTCTCTCGCCTTGACTACTGCAATCCCCTTCTCAGTGGTCTTACGTGTTCCCAGATTGCACCGCTGCAATTTATAATGAATGCGGCGGTGAGGCTCATTTTCCTGTCCACTCGCACCCCCCACGCCTCCCCACTCTGACAGTCCCTGCATTGGCTTCCAGTTAGATATAGGGCTCAATTTAAAATTCTGGTGCTTGCTTACAAATCCCTACATAATGCTCCTCCAACCTACCTATACTCCCTGATATGCAGGTACATCCCGTCGAGGCCCCTGCGCTCTGCTAAAGACCTATGTCTATCCTCTATCCGTATTCCCACCTCTGATGCTCGCCTCTAAGATTTCTCCAGGGCTGCACCTCTTCTGTGGAACTCCCTTCCCTTCTCTGTAAGACTTTCACCCAGTCTCCACTCATTCAAAAATCATTGAAAGCATATCAATTAAACTCTTAGCAGGATTTTATACCACACCCCCCATGACTCCTCTCCTGCAACTGTCAAAAAATTACCTACTAAGCCCTCTGTGAATACTTTTCTAACAACCTACTTCGTATCCCTACTTTTACCCTTTGTGTCACTATACCCCACCCCCTCTAGAATGTAAGCTCATTGACCAGGGCCCTCCACCCCCTCCGTTCCTGTGCGTCCAGTTATCTGGTTACAATTACATGTCTGTTAGTCCACCCGTTGTACAGTGCTACGGAATCTGATGGCGCTATATAAATAATAAAATAATAATAATTGTTTTGTTGAATATTTTGAACTCATTGATTACAGCCTTGATAAAAATGTTTAAACTAAAAAGGTTTGATCTATTCAAAGGCACCATTTGGAGCTTGTATAGAAAAACATTAGGGTCAATTCACAAATGCCCTGAAAAAGCAATTAAATGCCATTCTTGAAAAATATAATTTCCTGTATTTTGGAAGAACCTTTCTTAAATGTCTAGACAATTTGCAGTTTTTCTATAGAATACTATACTTAAGTTTAAGAAAAAATGTAAAGATTTAAATACGGTGAAGCAACATGCATTTGTATATTCTACAAGAAATGGCCCTCTTGTAAAGGTGAAACTAGAAATACAAGTTATATATTTTTTTAAACATTTTATGCATAGCTTGCACAGAAAGTTAGACAAATCAGCATTTTTGTGTGTTGATTCTGTTCAAATATACTTAACTTAAATGTTGTACAAATACAGAAATAATACAGAAACATTGTATGGAAATATTGCTTTCTAGCAATGAGGAGGATTGCTTGTTTTGCAATAAGACTTAAAGCTTCTTAAACAATAGCATAGAAACACAAATACTACTTTGGAACATTCAGCTAATGTGGTCAAAATGCAAATATATATTTCTATATCTATTTTTTACATTCACAAGAAATAAACTGAAATTTTAATAACTGCACCATATGTGCACTACATAATTTTAGTTTTTATCTTTCAATTAAAATGTAATTCACAGTTATTGAATATTTTTGACATATTTTTTTTTCCAATATGGAATATGGAATCACTGTTCCGCTTGTATAACACATATTTTGTCTTTGTAAGAGTTGGTTTTATTCATTTCCATCATGAAATGATCAGTGGTAAAGCTAGTCTGTTATATTTTAGAATCACCTTTTCTTCTCATTTCAGCACGGCATGTGACACTTGAAGAGAACTTAATAGAACTGTCAAGAACCATGACTGGCATAGGAAAAAGTCACCTTACTAGAAAAGGAAGCCTTAATTTCTTCACTGTTGAACAAGCTAAAGATATCATCGACTACTTGAAAATCAGGTACTGTATATTTCTTATATTTCTGAATAATCTTGATAACTTCAGACGTCCGTTGTTCAGAAAAGACCGTATTTTTCAGGCTTTGAAGCTAAACATACCCCAATATAAAATGTCTTTTAAATTAGGGAAATTCTCAGCACCTGCAAATCTGTAGGTAGAGTGCTACAACTTCTTAATATTAAAGGGACACTGTAGTCACCAAAACACCTTTAGCTTAATGAAGAAGTTTTGGTGTATATATCATGCCCCTGCAGTCTCACTGCTGAATTCTCTGCCATTTAGGCTTTTTTTTTCTCATTCATAATTTTTATTGAATTTGATAAAACAAAGGGATGTGGGATACAGAAATAGAAAAAGAGAGGGGGAGGGTAATGGGTAACATCATGATACCATTTAACATTTTGTACAATATTGTTTAAATCTCATATACATAGTATGTATATTGTATGTGATGATAGCGAGGTCTCATGTGAAGGTAACTGGGTGGTCCCTCTTTCAACAAATAGTGAGTTCGGTGTTAGTGGTTGGGTATTGGCAGAGGGAGGGGGGTAGGGTGGGTAACCCGGGGGTTTACAACATTTCCTGTCAATCTATGATAACTTTTCGTGTAACATTGTACGTACGTCATCATATGTGGTGTCACCTAGTTGTCTTGTGGGTGTGGTTCGACATGTGTGAAGCCTCCTGTGTATCTCCTCTGTGCGTGTGTGCACCTTTATTTTGGGGTTTGGGGGTGCTGCTTGGTCTTCCCAAGTGAGTTTTGTCGGTCGTCACTGTGTGGTGTATATGTCGAACCATGGTTCCCATGCCTCTTGATGTTTTTGTGATTGTTTAGTGGAAGTAGTGGACATTCGTTCATAAATATGGTATTGGTGGATTTTGTCCATTAGTTGTTGTCTGGTGGGGCAGGTGGTCTGTTTCCACCTGTTCGCTATGAGGTTTCTTGCTGCTAGTATGATTATCATCACCACTTGTTTACAGGGTTTGGTCATGGAGGTGGGAAGAAACAGAAATAAGCTGACTAAGGGGTCGAGGGTAATATTATTGATATTTAACGACTTGAGGATGCCTTTAACATGGCCCCAGAGGGGTGCCAAGACTGGGCACTCCCACCAGATGTGAATCATTGTGCCTTTTGCTTCTCTGCATCTCCAGCATTCTGCTGGAACTGTTGGGTAGATCTTGTGTAATTTGCTAGGTGTTAAGTACCATCTATAGACCAGCTTCCTATGAGCTTCTATGTGTGAGTAGCAATTGGTAATACCTTTGAGTGCGTTGAGGGATTTTAACCAGTCATTACCAGATGGCGAGGATGTGTATTCTGTTTGCCATTGTTGTACATAGGTAGGGGATTTTGCGTCGGTATTGCTCAACAGTATGTTATAACATAGAGATAATGTCTTGGGTTTTGTGGGTGAAAGCCAGCAGCGATCATATATAGGGTCTAATGGGTAGGGGTTGGAGAGTGCTATATCAGATTTTGTGAGTATTTCGTAGGTGGCAATGCTTTTTAGTTGGAGGTACTGGAAGATGGAGGAGTTAGGTAGTTCGTATTTTTGTTGGAGGTCAGGGAAAGACACGAGCTGTTGGTTTTGGTACGTGTCTGCTATGTGTTTAATGCCATGCTTTTACCAGGAATTCATCGTCAACCCCGAGGCTAAGAAGTTCAGAGGTGTTATTGGGGCTCGTGGGTGGAACTTGTTGATTTTTTGTTTTGTGTGGTGTAAGGATTCCCATTGTTTAATAGTAAGAACCGAGGTATTGAACAAGTGAGGCATGCTTGGTCTAATTTGTGCAGGTGTCCATAGTATCGTTACCAGGGAGTTTCCAGGTGCCCTAGCATGTTCCATGTCCGCCCATTGGAAAGTCCCCTTGGGGCGTGAAGTTTAATCGCAGCCTCCAGGAGGGACGCCTTATGATATTTAGATACATCTGGGAATCCCAATCCACCTTGTTCTGGACGTTTCTGGAGGAGTGACATAGATAGACGTGGTCTGTGTGACTCCCAGACGAAGGAGGAGATTTTGGATTGAAGATGCTTGTAAAACATCGGTTTGACGTAAATCGGCAGCATCCTAAATTTGTAGAGAAGTTTAGGGAGAAGCATCATCTTTACTGAATTAATTCTTCCAAGTCAGGAGAGCTTTACCGCTTTCCATTGTTGGATGTGCGTTTTGCATAGAGGTATTAGCGGTTTAAAGTTCAGGTCAAATGCGTATGTGGGGGTAGGGCCGAGTTTTACTCCTAGGTAAGTGATGTCGGTAGTTCTCCAATCAAAGGTGTGGGATCGTTTAAGCTGTGTTTTCAATGAGCTTGGTAGGTTTATTGGGAGAACTTGTGTCTTGCCTTGATTAAGCTTATAGTAGGATAGTTGTCCATATTGGTGAAGTAGGTCTATTAGCACCGGGACTGACTTTTCAGGTTCTTTTACTGTGAGCAGGATATCGTCTGCGAACATGGAGAGGCAAAATGTGCGGTTTCCTATGTCTATACCTTTGATCATGTCATGTTGCCTAATTTTAGCTGCTAAAGGTTATAGGGATAGGATATACAGTAGTGGTGATAGGGGGCACCCTTGTCTGGTTCCGTTGGTGATGTGAAAAGGTGTGGAAAGAAAGCCAGAGTTGGATACTCTTGCTTGTGGGTCATTGTAAAGGACCATGATGCCTGCGACAAGGTCATCTGGGAAACCGAATTTGCGGAGGACTTGTTGCATATATTCCCAGTTGACCCTATCGAAGGCCTTTTCCGCATCCAGTGCTAGGATTAGTCCTCGGGTGCGTGTTTCATGCATGTGTGCCAGTATATTCTGTCTTCATGTGTGCCAGTAAATATCGTGCAAAAGTTCATTTATTTCAGTAATGCAACATAAAAAGGGAAACTAATATATGAAATAGACGCATTACATGCAAAGCAAGATAGTTCAAGCCGTGATTTGTCATAAGTGCGATGATTATGGCTTACAGCTCATGAAAACCCCAAATCCACAATCTCAGTAAATTAGAATATTACATGCAATCAATAAAACAAGGAGTGTACATAGAATAATATCGGACCTCTGAAAAATATAAGCATGCATATGAACTCAGTACTTGGTTTGGGCCCCTTTTGCAGCAATTACTGCCTCAATGCAGCGTGGCATGGAAGCTATCAGCCTGTGGCACTGCTGAGGTGTTATGGAAGACCAGGATGCTTCAATAGTGGCCTTCAGCATTGTTCAGTCTCATGTCTCTCATCTTTCTCTTGGCAATGCCCCATAGATTCTCTATGCGGTTCAGGTCAGGCGAGTTTGCTGGCCAATCAAGCACAGTAATCCCACAGTCATTGAACCAGGCTTTGATGCTTTTGGCAGTGTGGGCAGGTGCCATGTCCTGCTGGAAAATGAAGTCAGCATCCCCATAAAGTTTGTCTGCGGAAGGAAGCATGAAGTGCTCCAAAATCTCCTGGTAGACGGCTGCGTTGACCCTGGACTTGAAGCACAGTGGACCAACACCAGCAGATGATATGGCTCCCCAAATCAACATAGACTGTGGAAACCTCACACTGGACTTCAAGCATCTTGCAGTGTGTGCCTCTCCATTCTTCCTCCAGACTCTGGGTCCTTGGTTTCCAAATAATATGCAAAAGTTGCAAAAGTGGACTTTGGACCACTAAGCAACAGACCAGGTATGTTTTTCTTTAGCCCAGGTAAGATGCGTCTGACGTTGTTTGTTGTTCAGGATCGGCTTGACAAGAGGAATACGACATGAAGCCCATGTCCAGGATCCATCTGTGTCTGGTGGCTCTTGATGCACTGACTCCAGCCTCAGTCCACTCCTTGTGAAAGTCCCCAACACTTTTGAATGGCCCTTTCCTGACAATCCTCTCCAGGCTGCGATCATCCCTGCTGCTTGTGCACCTTTTTCTTCCACACTTTTCCCTTCCACATTACTTTCTTTTAATGTGCTTTGATACAGCACTTTGGGAACATCCAACTTCCTTTGCAATTACCTTTTGAGGCTTTCCCTCCTTATGGAGGGTGTCAATGATGGTTTTCTGCACAACTGTCAGGTCAGCAGTCTTCACCATGATTGTGATTCCTACTGAACCAGACTGAGAGACTATTTAAAGGCTCAGAAACCCTCTGCAGGTGTTATGGCTTACATAGCTGATTAGAGTAGGACACTTTGAGCCTAGAATATTGCACATTTTCACAATATTCTAATTTCCTGAGATTGTGGATTTAGGGTTTTCATGAGCTGTAAGCCATAATCATCGCACTTATGACAAATCACGGCTTGAACTATCTTTCTTTGCATGTAATGCGTCTATCTCATATATTAGTATCCCCTTTTATGTTGCATTACTGAAATAAATTAACTTTTGCACGATATTCACATTTTTTGAGTATCACCTGTATAGTCGGGAGAAAGCTTTCGCGGACTGGTAATAAAGTCTTGAGGAACGGCGCTGGTCCGCGACTGCTATGGGCCTCTGTGATACCTTGCAGTTGGTGTGGGACCATGTGACCAATAACCAAGTCTATCAGCCTATCAGCCATCTACCACGGTCTGTTTCACCTGCTTAGAGGTATGTATGTATGGTGTTCTACAATCTTCTTATGTACTACGGCAGTTCTGCAGGGATGATGTTCTGAGGGACGCCCCTGATTTTTACATTCTGGTGTCTGTGCCTGCCTTCCATGTCTTCTAGGCGTTGATTGAGTAAGCTCTGCCCATGTGGCCTCTAATGCAGTGTAACATGAAGTAAGGTCTTGCTTATCTTCCTCCACCGCCTAAACACAGCCTTCCACAGTATGAATCTCCTCTCACTTTGGCGAGGACAACTGCAAAAAGCTGTTGAATGGTGCGAAAGAGACTTATAATGTCCCCTTAAGTGAAGGGTGGAAGGCAGCTCATTGTCCTCATCAGAGGATGAGTGGTGCAGTTCACCTGTAGTTGGAATCTCGTCCAGCGTGTCTAGTGCCTGTTTCTCAGAGGAGGCCGAAAATTAATCGCCATTTTCTTTTGGCGGGAAGGCTTCAGGGACCTTGGCAGGTCAGAGCAGAAGATCTCTTATATCTCATATATCCTCGGTACAGGAAACTTTTACAGGTCCCTGGCATCTGGACTTCTTCACTATTCTTGTGAGTGGCTTTTTATTGCTTTTTGGTGTAAGAATAAAACGTTTTAGTAGGCTAAAACAAGCTTAGTGTCTCTGAGCTCTACTGCAACAGTCTGAGCTAATCATAGGTTCATCTGCTGCTTTGTTAATAGCCTCCTAGACCCTGCAGGAGCCTCCTGAGTGTGATTAAAGTTAAATTTACAGAGCAGGCGATAAAAACGTCTAAAGCAAGTTAACATCTGATTGAAAATAAAGCAATTTTGTTCATGCAGTCTGATGGAGTCACAGACAGGGGATGTGTGGCTCGGACTGCATAAACTAAAACAAAAGTGAATTAACTATTAAATGGCAGTGAATTGAGCAGTGAGACTGCAGGGGCATGATCTATACAGTAAAACTGCTTCATAAATCTAAAGTTGCTTTGTTGCCTATAGTTTGACTTTAAAGAAACACTGTAGGTACTGTCTGATGTTCTCCTTTCATTGAGCGTTAAACAGTTTTTTTTATGTTAACATGTATTATGGTAAACAAGAATTCCCAGCAGTTTAGTGTTAAACAGCACAAAAATGGTTTAACACTGAATTGAGGGACAGTGCCAGAGGACTTCAGGCACTACAAACAAATCACATATATTAAATGATTATTAGTAATTACAGTGTCCCTTTAATAAGACAATTGCCATCTTGCATGAATATTCTTCTTGGGCGAGGATAGGATTGATTTTATAACATTCCTGTTTAAATATGGCTTTTATTGCAGTGCTATATATCTATATTGCTTTGTTATGGCACTATTCTGAAAATTCTTGCATTGATCTTAGCACATTTCCTTCTCTTTATAACAGCGTGCTTCAGTTTGAATATATGGTCCAAGCTTCTTCTGAGAGAACTTGCCTATGTAATAGAAATAATATTCCTGAGAACAATTAAATTTTAGGTTGTTCTTCATGTAAGGATTACTCTTGTGCGTGACTCGGATATTTACAATTTGCTTATTTATATATAATATGACTTAATCATAGTTAATATTTTTAAGTTGAGAAGTGCTGCATTTTTTTCTTTTTTCTTTTTTTAAATATGTCTTTCTTTATTTTTCTCTTTTTCTCATGGTCATAACCAATGCTGAGTATAGGAAAAAGAGCACAATTAACCAAGGCTGATGTAATACAACACCACATGTACAAAATGCATAATTTAAACCTTCTGTTAATCAACCTGCCTCAGAAAAATCACTTTACAAAATGGACCCTCCTTCTAAATAGGTTTATTACATTTACAATTTGATACTTGCTCTTAAATATATTTGGATATGGGCCAAGTGCTGCATCTCAGAGTTATTGTCTAATAAATCTGACACAGAGATTACATTAATTATAAGTATACTACCCAATGTAATGCATACTGCTGCCTTGTAAAGTCATTATATTCTATGTTATGTGATATTAGCATGACATCCTGTTACCCACTGACCTTGCGAGATTGATGACGAATTTTCAGTTTGGAAAATAATTGGGGGTGGGGGACAGATTCTGTTAGATTACAGTTAAATATGAATGTTCTAAAGCTAAACTGTATTCATTTAAAAATAATTATGACATAATAACTAAATAAACCTAATTTTTACTAAATACATTTAACTTTTCTAAAACAATACATAAAACTACAACATATATTAGAAAGAAATGCATATCTTTTTGCCAGGTTAAACAAATTATTTACATTATATAATTATTTGCTGGTGTTTTTTTTCCAGTTTTTTGTTACTTGCTATCCTGGACAGCAGCGTACTAAACTGGGAACGTGGCTGTGGTGGGAGAAGTCTATTTCACCTGACAGAAGGCAGGGGGCTCAACAGTGCAACCCCCTCCCACCATATTAGGCATCTCCCCTGACTGGCAAATTGCTTTAGAGAGGCTGCCATGCATGTTTTATGTAGTTCTGGAGCGGGCAACGAGGCTGCTAATGGGATTCTTCTGCACTGATTTCTAAGCTCCCTTGCATGCTTCGTACTGTGCATCTGTATGTGAATGTAAATATGTGCGTGTGATTTAACTAACCAATTTACAAAAAGGAGTTTATCAGTTTATCATAAAAATCTATTTTTACCACGTGCCACAAAACATAGGTACGCTTCTTACCCTAGACTCTGAGCTGAGGAACAGTGACCAGGGTGGGACTGGGACAGTACGTAACTGTCTCACTCCGGGACTGAAACACCAAGCGGACACTCCAGTGGTGTCTGGGGCTTAACCCCTAGTTTCAAAGTAAGAGTGACAATGCTCTATTTATTGGAGTAAAACTCCACAAATATGTGTCAACTGGAAGAAATTAGCGAGAAATTAATGAAAAATGGTAATATTTACATGTACCTATTCCCCTTAAAGTCTCCATAAATATATAGAACGTCATTCAGAAAAAAAGTGTCCTAAGCCCATTGGCTAAACCTCTTATGACTCTATCTTGAATGTTCCTGTTAACCAGAATTTGGACTTTAATCAATATGGTCTATAGCTGGAGTAGGAACTTAATGATCAAGTGAGTGATAGTCTAGGTATTTCTCTCATGGACGTAGCCTCTGTAATTGGTTGATAGAGTATTACTCAAGAGATAGGGAGAATTGGTTATGTATGCTTTCTCCTAATAATCCCTTAAAATATGGTAGAGCGCTCAGTAATCATAGTATAAAAGGTGGGATTGAATGCATGTGTCAGCTAACTGTAACAACGTTCAACTTCTTTGGTAACGATTTAACAGTAATATTGTATTGTAACCATTGATATTCTTAAAAAGACCTATGAGTCAACTTAATGACTAGTAGCTAAAATAGCCATGTGTGATCTTGTATCAAAGAGTATACAGAAACAATGTATAGCTGGCATGCAGCCAAATGCTGAGTGTCACCCTAGACGCTGTACTGAATATCATAGAGGAAAGCTATAGGAAGGGCAATGTCTTGTGATAAGGAATACTGATTGCAAACAAAGAGGGATCCGCACTCTCATCACTTGTAGACCTCGGTGCATTGTACTTAGGGCTGGCAAACCCTCATTCCATATAGTGAAGACAATGTAATCCAGGCGCTCAGGGTCTTTTTCAAACAGCAGTTTCAAACACAGCAACGTTTCGATTCACACTCGGATCTTTGTCAAGCAGCGTGTTTCTTCAGTAAAACTACTGTTTGAAAAAGACCCTGAGTGCCTGAACTATTTTGTCTTCACTTGTGATAAGGAACAGACTCTATAAAATAGGTTTGTTACAAGCAATTACGGCATTGGATGGATTTAATTTGGGCATGCCTGATCTAGGTTGGAATATGTCATAATACTTGACATGCGAGTAAATGCATTACTCTTCGGTTTCTTCTTTACTAAACTTCATCCTATCAAATACAAAACACTGAATGACCTAAGTAAATGTTGTTTCTGTGGTATTTAGAGTCGCGTACCCGCTGTATTTAAAAAAATACTCTCTGAGCAATTTAGTCTTTTATTTTCTCTGTAATTTGCTCTATAGTGATTGCAAATACCGGGTACACTTTCAGCTAACGTTGAAACAGCTTCCAGAATCCACAGGGACATCAAAATACCATGAAATCTGCTTTTTTTGGAAATTGTAGGGAACTCCCCCTTTGTTGAGCATACTATTTTTCAATTATTATTATCATTACAGTTTAGACTATAAGAAATTATTTATCTTTTTCAAATCTGTAAATATTACCTTAAATAATGGCAGTCTTTTTTTGTTTTATACTTCTAGCTTATTTCAACACTACAGGCTTTATGAATACATGTTCAAGTTCCCAAGAGATGAAATGGTCATATGTGCACAGGTATGTTTGTGAAATATCCACGTAAAATACATTTCTAGACAAAATGTGAAAACTCAGACATACCATCAATATGGCGCTCCTAAAAAAAGAGGTGCATCAGGATTAATAAAGAGTGTTTAGAGGGCATTGGGCAAAAAATGGGGACTGTCCTTTCTTAAATAGGGACACTTTGGAGGTATGCTGCATTTAGGATGTACTTGGAAACCAAAGAATATCTGAATGTACCTTTCCTGGTGAAACACTTTTTTATTATTATTATTATTATTATTATTATTATTATTATAGAATTCAGCATAGATATTTACTCTAGTTAATTTGATCACCCTTTTGCAATTAAAGAAGGATTTTACATCTTAATGTAAAATGTAACCATGCAGAGAGCCACAGGATTCAACAGGATTTAGGATGACTACCATAGATAAATCATTTGTAACAGTTTTCTGACAGATTTTGATAGTTTATCCAAAACTGTTAAATCAAGGCCATAGTGTTTGTATCAAATGTTCAGCAGAAAACTCAAGTCCTGAAATCAATATAGATTCTCCTATATTGATTCTTCTGGTGAATGCACAAATATAAGTTGAATTTTGCTCTGCTCTTGCAGTTTTGTTGCCTTTTAACTTAAGAAATACATCCTAATGTGTGCGCTGTAACATGTATTTCATTCACTTATACATGGATGTATGTTTTCCTTTACCTATTTACTCATGTGTATGTATGTCTTTAAAAAAAAAAAATGCTAATTCCACAATTGAAATGTTGACTATATGTTAGCTACTTGTATGATATAAAGGAAAACTGTATTTAACTGTTTACACTTCCCATGAATGCTCAACTTTGGGTTATCAGAGATCTTAATTACAGATGTGTAAATCATTAACCATCTACTAGACACTGTACTAAACTGGTGCTTCCTAAAAAATCTAAAAAAACCACAACATATAAATCTCAATGCAAAGCTGCTCACTACACTGGTAGTGTAACACCTAAAAGTAAACCAAAAACTATATGATCAGTGGAGGGCTTCACAGATCCTAAAATATAATCCTGGTATTACAATTCCAAAACTGTGGAAAACATACTTAATTCAAATTCCCAGTCTACCGTTAAAGTGCAATAGTGCCACAGCAAAACCAGTGGCGCGTGTAAATTATGTAAAACCACAAATTCCTTTCAAAAGTGCTGTTCCACAGGTCAATTGAAAAAAATTAAATTCCCAATAACATAAAAAATTATCAATATAACAAAATGATCTGGTGCATAAAGCATCCAATTTTCAATTACATGGAAAATTAATTCATTTAACAAAGTGATCTAATCCATAGACATAACATCTTATACTCATTAATGTGCAAAATGTGCAATCTAAAACCTGTTGTGCAAAAATATGCAAAATTGTGAGTATACTTCTCTGAAGTCTTAGAAACAGCCTGCGATGAACCGTAAGTGAGAAACAAAAATAGATACAATAGTGCAGATGGTACAAAACTAAAATATACAAATATAAATATATGGATCCACTAGTGTGCCCATGCACATTTTCCAGAGCCCAAAATGGCTCTCTATAAAATGTAGTGGAGCCAATAGAGGGTGACTCACTCCCTCCCTCCTTTCAGTGACGAACAGCAAGCACTCTTCCTTTGTGGGTGGATAAAAGTGCCTACAGTATGTAGAAGAAAAAAAGGAAATGTAGTGTTACATTGCAAAACTAAATTTATAAATGTGAATAGATGGTAAAGGTTTCACTCACATATACCAGGTGTTTTTACCAGCTACTTTAGCTCCTGCCTTGGAAAGACCTCTCAGTGGTGTGTAATACAGTCAATTGAGAAGCCTGTGATTGGACAGCTATACACACATGCAGCCAGTACGTAATACTTCTCATTAAGAAGCCTCTGATTCTGTATTCCCCAGCACAGAAAATCTGTGCCGCAGAAGAATGGGAACCGCAGATAACTATTTATGTAGCTATTGCACATACTCCAAAAGATAAGAGATTGCACATACCCCAAAAGAAAACATGCAAAAATAGTTACATGCATATTTTTGTTGTGGGTATGTATGCTTAATATGTATTATTTACTTTTTTTTATTATATACATTGTGTTCCTTTAATTCTTAAACTTTAGTTTATAAGATAGAAGTTTATAGAGATGTAAAATCACAAGCTACAAAGTAATTTAGCTGGAGGACCGAAACCAGATTTGGAACATTGTGTAGGTCTCCCGTAGGGTAACCCATCTGAGGCTGTCATTGTTACATGCGCTCTTTCTAAATCTCAGCAACAATACTGTAAGAGTTCATTTTAGATTTGGCTTGTGGTTTAATAAATGTCAGCAGTGTTACACTCTGAAATTTCTTTTATGACTTTATTCCGAAGTACACTTCAATCAAATCCTTGCTACGAAAAACCTTGATTGGTGATATGTTGTAACTGTTTGGATTGGTAAATAGTCACTATTTTAGCTAACTCTGATTAAGGAGCTTTTCTTCAGTATATTGTTTTCCACTGGCAGTAATTCTTGATTTTATTTTCGTATACACACATACTTGAGATTGTGTGTTTTATTTCTTTTTTGTTGTTGTTACAAATGGTTTATTATTATTTTATTATTTGTTTTAATGCTTTGAACATAGGAATTGTGTAGTATATTTACATAATTTAATAAATCCTAATATGTTTGCACTTTTTCTTGTTTCATCATCAAATACTGCTCTACAGGGGTACAGAGTTGTGTGCCTCTTTTTTAGAATCCCCTTGCTGAAGGAGGGGGAGGAGTGTGGCCGTCATTGTAGCAAGATGGAGGTGTAAATGTTAATTCATTCAAAAGATACCCTGAAAAAAATATTAGAGACCCAATGACCCACTTATCTAAAAGTAGTTTGTTTGTTTTTTTCGAGTGAGCGTGACTCTCCTTATGTACTGCACAAAGCAGAAATTCACGTGTGACATGCAAAATATTTGAGGTACTTCTGCATGTTGCTTCTGAAAAGACTTCACACCACAAGGAGTAAAAGAAAGACGTAGAAATAGAAAACAGAACAGCACATGTTGAGATCAAGCTAAGGGAACTTGTGGGGCCCCAAAATAGCCCTGCCGACCAAATCCAACAGATGGAAGCACAACTGTAGGCATGTGTGTCAGGATTATAGTTGATCCAGCGCACAGAATAGTATTACACCTAGGACTAAGGATAACGTCTAACCGGACCTTAGAATGGCCGTACTTAACGTACCTGAGAATAGTCAAAATACTTGCCGAGGTCAGGGACACAGAAAGGGACACAACGATGTGGAAAGCCAGAAGTCAAGGAAACCAGAAATTAGGGAAGTCAAAACGAAGCCAAAGTCAAATACCACAAAAAGGCAATCAGGAACACACTCACGGATAACCAGTTAGTAGAAACCACGACAGTGCACTGACAGAAAGGTAATTTGGGTTTAAATAACCCTCCTTAGGCTATAATTGGCTGTCTCTGACCTCTGACCCCAAAATATGCATGCACGTCTATTACGTGACGTCACACGCTCATTGGCGCCATCTTTGATGTGGGCGGAGGTAAGTCTCCTATTAAAACCGGAACCGCAGCGGCCGGCTTCTCTAGGAACACCATACGTGACCACTATGTTTGTGCGTTCACGCCGGCAGAATCACGGGGAGCCGTGCAATGTGAAAATAAGCTGAAGGACATAAATTGTCAGAATAACCACCACTTGTGGGGGCTCCTTGAGCAGGGCCGTCTATAATATGATTAGGACCCTGGGCAATGCATTTTCTTGGGCCCCATGGGCCCTGTCCCTGCCACTGCCTCACCCCCCAATTACGTCCAACCCGCAATCACACTGACAGACGTACTGGCACATACACACACAGACAGACATTAAAACATTCACAGATACATACTGACACACACAGTCACTACACACAAATATATACTGGCAGACATACTGACACACACACAGACATACATACATACACAGACACATACATTAACAGATATACTGACACACACACAAACACACATACACTGACAGATATACTAAAACACACAGACACATACACTGACAGACACATTGACACACACACACAGGCATACTGACATACATATATACACACACACACACAGGCATACTGACATATACACAGACAGACGTAATGGCTGATACAGACAGACATTAAACATTCACAGATATATACTGACACACACATACGCTGACATACAAATATATCCTGGCATACATACTGACACACACACACACACAGACATACATACATACATACATACACACATACACATACACTGACAGACATACTGACTGACACACACATACACAGACATACTTACATACACACACACATACATACTGACATACACACAGACAGACGTACTGGCACATACACACAGACAGACACACACAGACATACTGACACACACATACAGACATACTGACATACACACAGACAGACGTACTGGCACATACACACAGACAGACATTAAAACATTCACAGATACATACTGACACACACATACACTGACACACAAATATATCCTGGCAGACATACTGGCACACACGTACACACACACACACACACAGAGACATACCTACATACACACACACAGACATACTGGCATACACACAGACATACTGACACACACACACACACACACACAGACATACACACACAGACATACTGGCACACACACACAGACATACACACACAGACAGACCTACTGACATACATTTAGCCACCCTCCAGGTTCTTACCTTTTCCTGGAGGGTGGTTTCCCTGGTCCAGTGGCAGGCTGAGGCAGATGGGAGTCTCCTCTTGAACTCCCCTCCTCCCTGCCTTCCTCCTCCCGCGCGGCTATCTCCGGTGGGAGGAAGTGACGTCACTCCTCCCAGCCGGCTGCAGAACCGGAAGAGGGGCCCGGTCGCGCTGTTTAAGCGCCACAGCGCCCGACCGGGCCCCTGCTGACACATGCTCCCCGGTCGGCTCTTAGTGCATGGGCCACCCGGGGAGCCTCCTCAGTGTGCGGGAGCCGCAAATCGCGGGGCCCACAGAGCAGCTGCTCTGGGCCCCCAGGAGCAACTGGGCCCCGCAACTGCCCCGTTTGCCCCGCGTTAAAGACGGCCCTGTCCTTGAGTCAGTCACTAATTCTATGCTATGTGCTTTATTTTTAAAATAGTCTCCCTTAATATTCTTCAAACAATGCTTAATTTAGACAGAATCACAGAAACATATTGCTATAAAAACATTATCTACTCTGTACATGCTTCTGAAAAGGAAATTGTTTCCTCTTAGGCATAATCATGGGAAAGAGACATCATGTATACCATTTGATAAGGACTAATTGACCAGAGTCTTGCAGAGACCTTAGCTATTACAAAGGGAGCTTCAAAAAATGGGGGGAAATGCATGACCATTCTAGAGATGGAGCAACCCATCTTTTCTTCTGTATTGGAAACTAGTTGTGGACACAATGGGGATATCCACTGGATTATCTTTATCAATTAAAGTGGAATACTTCCTGTTATTCTTGCTCCACAGTGGGATCCCTAAACCACAACTAACATTTATTTTAAATGTTACTGCAGTCATTAATACAGTATATGTGAGGAATTGGACAAACTCTAGCAAGAATATACAAGTGCAGCTCAACTGCATATACAGTTGCAAGAAAAAGTATGTGAACCCTTTGGAATGATATGGATCTCTGCGCAAATTGGTCATAAAATGTGATCTGATCATTATCTAAGTCACAACAATAGACAATCACAGTCTGCTTAAACTAATAACACACAAAGAATGAAATGTTGCCATGTTTTTATTGAACACACCATGTAAACATTAACAGTGCAGGTGGAATTGTCTAACATGGCAACATTTCATTCTTTGTGTGTTATTAGTTTAAGCAGACTGTGATTGTCTATTGTTGTGACTTAGATGATGATCAGATCACATTTTATGACCAATTTGTGCAGAAATCCAAGGGTTCATATACTTTTTCTTTCATCTGTATGAAAAACTAGCTCATAAACAATCCAAAAGGGGCAACACTTGAATGAGAACCAGGGACATGTGGGACTCTATCCTTGTTAAACCAAGTTTATGATTCACCCAGACAGATCATGTAGCTACCACTAACCTTGGCTGGTAAAGTAAAATGATGGAGACCAAGATATTTCTCCTGCCTGTCATCTGTTTGGATTGTAAACCAAAGAAAAAATATTCGAGCACATAACTGCAGACTTTTTTTTAAAGCTGAACAGGCAACATTATGGCTTACACTGGAGCTTTTCTCAAGCCACATCTTTTTTTAATGGCATGGTGTGATAGTCCTTTTTGTTTCTTTTGCGCTTTTTACTTGCAAGTTGGAATCCCGGCAGGGTTGACTCAGCCCTTCATCCTTCCAAGGAAGATAAAATGAGTACCATTACATTGGGTAATAGTAACAACCCCAGGATGTTGGGCTAAGGTAACATCCCCAGGACGTACTTGAAAACCAGAGTAATCTGAATGTGCCTTTCCTGGTTAAGCCCTTAACGCTGATGGACGGACGAGGTCCGTCACAGAGGGGAGACCCATAATGACGAATCTCGTCCGTCACGCGGTATGATTAACCCCAGATCGCCGCGATCGCGGGGTTAATGGTGCTCCGGTATGCCTCTGTATTAGAGGCATACCGGGAGCACCCGGTCAGGCTGCCCAGCACATGTGCTCGCTCTGAACATGTGCTCTGTATACGTACCTTCCGGCTCCCTGCACTTCCTGGTTCTGTGTGAAGTGCAGGGAGCCGGAACAGTGCTGATCCTGCCCCCTGCTGGAAAAAAAAAGAGTTAATTTAAAGTCCCACCCCCCCTTTACCCATTTTAATAAAAAATTAACACCTTCCCTGCCAATTGATCACTGACTACAATGATCAATTGGCAGGGATTACATTTTACTATGATCTGATTTTTTTTTTAACCCCTCAGGGGTTAAATTTATTTAATTAATTAAAATATTTTAAAATTATATATTTAGCTAGCTGGGGTGGGTGGAAGTTAGTGGGGAATTGGGGGATTTGGCGTTAGGCCAACTAGGGGTTAACGTTAAAAGTTTTAAAATAAACTTTAAAAAGTTAAAAATTACGCTTAAAAAAAGTAAAAAATACAAAAAACACCCCCCTTTACCTAGTCCAAATCAAAATTAACCCCTTCCCTGCCAGTTGATCACTGCCTACAGCAATCAAATACAGATCACAGTATTATACTGTGATCTAATTTTTTTTAACCCCTGAGGATTAACTTTTATTTATTTTTTACCCCTTGGGGGTTCAATATATTTAATTAATTAATTAAAATATTTTATAACTATATATTGTGCTACCTGGGTTGGGTGGGAGTTATAGGGAATTTACTGTTAGTGCTGCTTACTGCTAGTTAGGGGTTAACGGTAAAAAGCTTAGAAAAATGTTAAATCTGTAAAAAAGTTTTAAGAAAGTTTAGGAAAGTTTAAAAAAAAATTAATACGCAAAACAAAAGTTTAAAAACTAGTTTTTAAAAGTAAAAAAGTTAAAAAAAGGAAAAAATACATATAAAAACGCTCATTACCACTACACCTGGAACAAACTAGAGAAAAAATTATCCCACGCCAAGGTCCAAAATATGCCTTTTGAATTACCCCAGAGTGTATTCTTTAATAAATAGTATGTGTTTGTGGGGAAGTTTCAATAACCAACCGTCTAAACTACTCCAAATTGGAACATGGACACAGCGTAAAACTTCTTTTTACTCAGAAGACTTAGCTGAGCATAATTTGGGAGGTTTGAACTTAGTGGCACATATGAAATATACAAAACGCCCAGCAAAAATGCAATCCGTATGTAAAAAATGCACAAAATTATTTTTTACCACATACTTTGGCATATATTGGTGAAAAAATGGGGGTATGTTAAGGCACAATATGCACCTTATGAGATACCCTGGAGTGTCTACTTTTACAAATGGTAGGCCTTTGTGGTTTTTTTTTGAACAGTCAAACTGTTATAATACCCCAAATGGAAGCTAAGGCTCATTAAATCCATCTCTCAAAATTCTACTGTGAATACTGAAAAGGACAGGTATCCTGTATGGCACTGTAACTTCACGAAATAGTGCAAAAGACATACAATGGGGGTGTCATTTTACTCAGCAGATGTAACTGAACACAAAATAAAACTTTGTACAGGAATAGCACACACCAACTTTACAAAATATACACGAGAATTTCTTTGTTATAAGTTTGTGTGCCAAAAACAAAAAAAACCCCACAATTTTACTCCAATATTTAGCAGAGGTTGGCGGCAAAATGGCTATGTAGAAAGTGTCAAAACAACCTTAGGTAAATAGCCCGTGATGTCTACTTTATATAAATATATACTTTTGTGTGTAAATTTTGTTTTCTTTTATGGCTATTAAGCTTACAAGACAAACATACCAAATTCTAAAATCGCTCCACATTAAAAGTTTATTTTACTCCTTGTGCTTTGTGACCTGTAACTACCAAAAAAAACTTTAAATCCCAGACACATTATATATTCTGTAAATCAGAACAACTAAATTAATTTATTTTTAATTACTTTTCTTAACCTGCACTAATTATGCACACATTAGTATTGCAAAAACTGTTAAAAAAAACCACAAAATTTTCATGTTTTTTACTTTTTTCTGTATTTTTTTGTAATAAATAAGCATTTATATATATGTGTGTTACATCAAATTAAAGCCCTTTCTGTCCTTTAAAAAACGATGTATAAGATATGTTGGTGCATCAAATTAGTAAAATGCAAATTGCAGTTGAACGCAAACAGCAAAAAATGAAAAAAATGCTGTTGTCATTAAGTGAAAGACAAGCTTTTGAAGCTCTGTCCTTAAGGGGTTAAAAACGTTGTTATTATTATTATTATTATTTACATTACTTACGTTACTGTTTATTATGTGTGCATTCTTTTTTTTCTGACTTTTGGGCAAAACTGAATTAAATTCCTCTAAAAAGTAACCTTTTATTAGCAAATTTTGTCATAGTATAACATCTTAAAGACTAACAATAGAATAATTCATAACAAACCAGACTTTACATATCTTAAATAAAAAAGTGGCCTACCCGTCAACGATAGCATGGTTATATAGATCTGAAAAATGCTAAATAAGCATGACATTCCATCCCAACCCTTATATCACATGGCTGCGTAAACAGAAACATTAACACAGTGATCTGTGAGTTATATGTATAAAAAAGGCTATTCTTTTGTACTTTGCCTTCTAGGCCATAAGTTGTCAGCCATCCCCTGTTGTCCCATATTATCGTATGGAAAATTGTGTACAAAGAAATATATTTAATATAGTGTTTTTAAATAAACCTAATTTCTATAAATTATATTTAGGCAGCCAGAAATGAAAACAATTCCCACTCTGTGTTTCTTGCATCCTTGACGTGTAATGTTTTGCCCATGTGGCTGATTTCCTCTGGTAATGTGTAATATACAATGTCGCTGCTTCATTGAGTCCATACCAAAACAACATAACAAAATATATCATACATACATTTTTTTCCCCATAAAATAAACATGACAATTTTGCTTTGTGTTTTGAAATCTGAAAGATTTTATTCCACTCCCCCCCCCCAAGTGGAATTCAGTGAAATGCAGAAAAGTACTCCACCTATTCAATCATTACATTAAAACATAGATAAAATAGTTTTTCTTCTCGCTATCTCAGTTAGGAAGTACAGTTAGAATTTAAAGGAAGCATCCTGAGCTTTAGAAGTAGGTTAGCCTTTCCTGCCTTTGTTGTACTTGGTGGTATCAGTATGATTCAGTCTCTTACTCTTGTATACAGAAATGCAGTTTTAATATTACTTTTATGTTTGTAAATAACAAAAAATCAGGAATGTTGACCTTTTTGTGCATAATTTAATACCTTGTTACCGGTTATATGTGTACAATTTGTTTTAGATTTGCATTATATTTAAATAATAGATATGATTAGAGGTGTATTTAATTTTTTTAAGGGACACATAATATGTGTGGTATATTAGTATTCTTTATGTGCTGGTAATCTAGCATCAAGTTCACCCCTAGGTAGCATTGTAGGACCCACTTATGTGGGACTCTTGTGGTTCTTCCTATGTTATTTTCTAATTTACTTCTAGCCTCTTTCTAAATGCTTACCTTTCCCGAGAAGGAGTGCCTAGGATTCTAGGTGACTTGGAGCAGGAGGGCTGTGTTCTTTTTCCATGCAGTCATGCTCAAACGTTTGCATACCCTTGGAGAATTGGTAATATATGTACCATTTCTAAAGAAAACATGAGAGAGCAGGCAAACCACATTTCTTTTATTTCTTATGGGATTCATATTCAAGTGTAGGTTTTAACAGAATTGCACAATCATAAAACAAAACATGGCAACAAAGAAAAAAAATGAAATAACCCCTGCTCAAAAGTCTGCATACCCTTAGTTCTTAATATTGTGTATTGCCCCCTTTAGCATCAATGACAGAGTGCAGTCTTTTGTAATAGTTGTCTCTGAGGCCCCTAATTCTTGTAGGTGGTATAGCTGCCCATTCGTCTTGGCAACATGCCTCCAGGTCATGCAAAGTCTTTTGTTGTCTTGCATGAACCGCACATTTGGCTCAATGATATTAAGGTCAGGAGACTCTGATGGCCACTCCATAACCTTCACCTTTTTCTGCTATAACCACTAGAGGGTCAACTTGGCCTTGTGCTTAGGGTCATTGTCATTGCTGGAAAGTCCATGAGTGTCCAAGGTGCAGCTTTTGTGCAGAAGAATGCAAATTGTCTGCCAGTATTTTCTGATAACATGCTGCATTCATCTTGCCATCAATTTTCACAAGATTCCCCAAGATCCAACCCATAATTTATTTTTATTTATTTAGAAATATTGATACATGCATGCAGGGGCGTACCTAGAGAATTTGGCACCTGGGGCGGGTCCTATTTTTGGCACCCCCCTTGGTCCCCCCCCCTCAACTTTAAATATAAAAACAACTAAAAAATTTTTAATGTATTTAGCACTAAGCAGTGTTTGTGTTTTTGAATGTATGCATGTTTTTGTATGGAGTATATGTGAGTGAATGTAGCGGTGTGTTTGTATGTAGTGTTGGCATTTGAATGCAAGCATGCATTTGTGTGTTGTGTGGTATTTGAATGCAGTGGTATGGTTATATATAATGGTGGGGTTTGTATGTAGTGTTGACGTTGAAATGCAAGAGTGTATTTGTGTGCAGTGTTGGCGAGATTTTTATATGTCTGCACATATACACATACACGGACATACACACACAAACACAGTCACACACAGATACACATTGACACACATGAAGACATCGTGGTGACTCTAGGAACAATATATATGGGGGGGCACATAAGATTCCACAGTCAAAACAGGAGGGGGAGGTGGAGCAGTAAAACTTCTCACTAGGGGATGGGGTAATATGCTGCCATTGGCTGTCCGATGCCAGCATGCTGTGTTCTGCATGCTGGCATCTGATTACACATTTGCATATAATTCACATTAGCCACCCAGATTTCTTGTTATGGGCTGGCTGACACCTCTTAATTTCAATCTTTGTTTAGCAGATAACTCCTCTATTTACTATCCTTTGTGGGATTGCCATATTTAAGGACACCAAATAAGGTGCTATCTGCTAAACAGCACCCTCATTTGGTATCTTTAAATATGGAAATCTCACATACGGGCACCAATTCAGGGAATGATCTACTAAACAGCTAAAGGATAAAAAAAAGCCCTTTTCTTATTTTCAGTTGTTTAGTAGATAAATCCCTTATTTGTTATCTTTATGTGGGATTGCAATATTTGAGGACAGGAAATAAGGGAGCTATCTACTAAACACATAAGCAGAGATACACACAATCACACACATAATCACAGCTACACAGCACAATCACTGACCCACACACAAACATTACATACATACACACATTTAATAATTAAGAGGTCCACCCAGCCTCCCTACCTTGCTCTAGAAGGGCTGGAGTGGATCCTCAGTCCCTGGTGGTCAGTGGTTGCTGCTGGGATCTCACACACGCCCTGTAATGATGCCGAGGCCGCAATGACATCATATCCGGGCAGCCAGCTCACTGCAGGGCGAAGACTGTCAGACACAGTTAGATGCACACAGTCCCACACACAGTCACTCACACACAGTTACAGGCAGACAGTCAAATACGCAGGCAATCACACAGGCAGACAGTCAAACACACAATCACAGACAGTCACACATACACACAACACAGTCACAGACAGTCACACACACAATCACAGGCAGACAGTCACACACACACACACACAATCACAGGCAGACAGTCACACACAGTGACACACACACACACACAGAGTAACACAGACAATCACAGGCAGACAGTCACACACACACAGTGACACACACACACAGACAGTGACACACACAATCACAGGCAGACAGTCATACATACACATAACACAATCACAGACAGTCACACACACACAATCAGTCAGAGAGTCACACACACAGAGTCACACAGACAATCACAGGCAATCACACAGACAATCACAGGTAGACAATCACAGGCAGACAATCACAGGCAGACAATCACACAGACAATCACAGGCAGACAATCACAGGCAGACAATCACACAGACAATCACAGGTAGACAATCACAGGCAGTCACACACACACACAAGCAGACAATCACACACAGAGTCAAAGACAGTCACAATTACAGTTACAGCACACACACTCTCACTTACAGTAAGCTTGGGCTGGAGGAGGAGGGGATTCAGTCCCTCCTGTGCTGTAGTTGGGGAAGCAGGGACTCCTTCCTGCTTCCCCTCTGTGTGCAGCAGTATGAGGCTGCATATAGCTCCGCCCCCACGTCCGGCATGGCTCCGCCCCCAAATCTCCGTGCAGGTCTCCAGCTTGTTCCCAGCCCCTGCGTGTGAGCTATGTCAGCTGCCCCGCCCCTGCTGCTATGGCAACCAGTGCAGCCACACAGCTCACTGACTCCCAAGCCTGGCCATCCCTGGTGGCACCTCCCTGCCTGTTGGCACCCAGGGCGGACCGCCCCCCCCCACCCCCTCCCTTAGTACGCCACTGCATGAATGCATATTTGTTTCACACTGTAGTCTATTTTACTTACTAAATGCATATTGTATTTTGAAGTTCCAGTGACGTTTTTTCTTCGTAGATTTCAAAACAAAAACTTTCCTAATCTAAAATAATAAATTACATCTTTTTTTATGGCATTTATGTTAGTTCCTTCCTTTTTGTATAATTTTCCATTATTTTGAAATCATTACTGCCTCTTTTTTAAAACGGCCACAACCTCCAACATAATAGCTATTCATTTTGTAAAATACATTCTTTTAAATTTCTGTGCACAACATTTTCACTTCTTTAATCTTCTAATATCTCTTTTGTTCAAGTGATTATTTCTTTATTGGTTTAGAAAATTCATCAGCCAATTACTTTAGTGTTCACAGGGGAATTGTGCAATGCTTGAATAATTTTAAAACATCTATCTTTATTAAGCTTTCAATAATGTGCTCCCTTTATAGCCCAGCAAACTGTCTACTGCTTTTTCTTGTAATGAGTTCTGTTTTGGGTCAATGTTTGTTGTGACCTTTATCGGAACTTTTTTTTTCCTTTTGCTTGATTATTTGATTGACTTCACTGTTAAATATGTTAGCTGAAATGTCCTCCATATTTTAATAATTAGTAATGGATTTCTAATTACCTGATTCTAAACATGGTACAAACTGTTAAATAATTGTCTGATAACTTGCCAGAGTGATGATCTGTGTCATAAATCAGAAGGAATATTGCTATTTTCCAAATACATTTTGTTTAGAAACATGGTAAAAGTCCTTCACTGCTATATCTGGCTTGCAAGAGTTTACGAAATTTGCTCACATCATGGATCACACATGAGGTTCATTCACTAAACTCCAAATTGTAGTAAACTGAAAACTAAATTGCAACTTCAGCCATAGTTTGTCTAATTTAGCCAAAATGATCCCGCTTTTTCAATGTGTCATGAATATAACCAAAACAAAATATGAAACGTATATCTCACCTGATAAGTGTTTTTTTTTTTGTGGTTTTTTTTGTGGGGGGGAACGCGTACTTAGGTTATATTTGTTTAGCAATATGGAATTTACACAGGTAAATAGTTATTAATCTGCATTTTAAAAATACACTGCAGAACTTCATACCGTGGAACTAGTATTTAAGGTAAACTTGAACAGGTTGTATCTGTCATTGTTATAATGGGCTTGGTCACAGCAGTATAGGCTGTCATACTGAACAAAAATACAATGTTCCCTTGCCCTAAATATTGAATTATTTTTAAAATTGTGCCTAGTGTATGGTGGCCCTATTCTCTTGTTTATGTTTTTCATTATTAATTTATTGATAATGACTGTGTGGTCATTCAAGCAGATATCAGCAAGGACTGACCCACCATCAAATAGGGATTTATCTGATATTTGATTTCTATAGACAATGTTCTGTGCATGTCCAGTCCATGTTTGCTACCGGCATGTACTGTTTTCAAGCAGACATGCTGTTGTGCATTACCAGTGCTGCCCATTGATGCATCCAACCCTTCTTTGATACCCCCCAGTGGTGAGATGAATGCAATACTCCCTGTGGATAGTCTTTTAGCTATGTTTTCATATCATGTGCAGATTAACCTCATTGAATAAACAAAACACATAGCATGATACAAGTTAACAAAATTAGTAAATGAGTATGAAGTATGACTCACGTATTTCAGAGCCATTATCAGATCTGTTACAGCACACGGGGTGGCCAGCATTAGGGCAAGATTTGTACAATTTTTATCTGTGCAAAAATGTAAATACTAAAGCTGCAGTGCAATAAATTTTTCATTACTATTATTATTTAAAATCACTTTACTCAAGAGGGTATTTACAAGTGACACAGGCATATACAATAGTATATTCTCCTACATATATCTAGAGGATTGTGTGATGGTTCTGTATTATGTGAGTGATTCCATCAAATTGATTACATTTTGTTAAATTGTATGACACTGTGTTTCTGTTTATTTATGTCTCCAATTGTTAACACAGACCATTTTATAGTACCGTTAATACAGAGATTTCGTGTGAGTTAGGGTGGTGGAAGTGAACATTATATTTATTTTCTTAGATTTATGCAATGTTTTATAATAGCAGTGATATAGATATTTTTTTTATTTGTTCAGAACTCTTGCTTATATGAAGGTGAAAATGTTAACGCTAGAGGAGAGTAAGCCAGCTAAACTGTATAACAATATACAGACACTAAACACATTTATCTGGTGGACCAGTTAAAATAGGTACCACTAGTTACTTTGTTGTTGGTTATCAAATGAGAATAACACAAGTGGGATCTGCAATGAGTGGGCTAGTGTTATGTCTGCAAAGTAGTTTTTCTCTAAATAAGTCTTTGTTACCTTTGTGAGTCCTTGAACATTTCATTATTATTATTATTACTGGTATTTATTAAGTATTGATTCTGATATTCCGCACTGACATATAATTGAGGAAACAATGAAAGTGTTTGCTTAAAAGTGGATGGTCTGAGAACAGAGCTTGCTGGAAAATTACTTTGAGATAATGCAGGAGGTTTACTTGAAAGAATATTGTCTAAGGCACCATACCATTTATCTTCATACTAATGATGTTTATACTCTATTGCATTCTTTTGATTTTTATATATAAACTTATGTTATTTTGGTAAATTAAACCTTTACACAAAACAATTAGGGTTATTCGCTAAAATAAGAATTGTTGAGAATTTAAAGTGAATTTTAACACTCATAGCAAAGCAGGACTTTGAGAATTAGTTTTAGTTTGCCTCTTTTGGCCTTAAATTTAAATGCACTTTAAATTTAATTCTTACTTTAGTGAATGCTTTTGTATGTGTGGACACAAGTTATGGTTTCAGTCATTATATATGACTTATATTGTTTGATGATGGTTGCACTAAAAATATATATACGTTACCTATTTGTTGTACTCTCATACCATGCCCATTTTGCATGGTAGATTAATTAAAGGGACACTCCAGGCACCCAGACCACTTCTGCCCATTGGAGTGGTCTGGGTGCCAACTCCCACTACCCTTAACCCTGCAACTGTAAATATTGCAGTTTTCATAAACTGCAATAATTACATTGCAGGGTTAACTCCTCCTCTAGTGGCTGTCTACAGCCACTAGAGGGCACTTCCTGGTTTATAGCACAGATTGGACGTCCTCACGCTATGTGAGGACCTCCAGCATCGCTGAAATCCTCATAGGAAAGCATTGAAAGCATCTTTCTATGCTTTCCTATGGGGAGGTCTAATGCGCGTGCATTAGGTCTCGCCGGCCGCGCATGCGCAATAGGTCTCCCCCGCCTGATGACATCGGCGGGGGAGGAGCGTGGGCGGACCCTGAACCAGTGCCGAGGGACATCGGCGCTTGATACAGGTAAGTCACTGAAGGGGTTTTAACCCCTTCAGCAACATGGGATGGGGGGTGGGAGGGAGAGGGGATCTGCAGTGCCAGGAAAGCAGATTGTTTTCCTGGCACTGGAGTGTCCATTTAATCATTAGGTTGGACATATTTCATAAAATAGGTGACATTTAAATGAAGATCGACAAATAATCTATATACATCTTTTTGCCTTGATTTTAGTGTTTTAATTTACATTTATTAATAAAAATGTACAAAAATAAAGAGTCATGACTTAAAAATATATGAAAAGTGCAAGAATAGAATATTCCACCAGATGGCGTTTCAAATAATAAAAAAAAATTACTACTACATATTTCAACTTTAATTGAATATATTCATCAATTGTCATTAAAAATATTATTTAGAGACTGAAAATAACTGAGATTTAGAGGAATGCTTCAACATATCAGCTAATGATAATGTTAAAGGTTTAAAATAAATTTTTGGATTGATTGTAACAATCAAAATTAAATATAAATGGTATCCACAAAAATGCATTTACGTTATGAGATCAGGGCTGCCATCAGGTAGCTTGGGGTCCTTTACAAAGCCATTGGCTGGACCCATCTTATCATATTTTGACACAGCAATACATACTCCCAGACAAACACACTAACACAATCTAAGACACACATAGGCATTTCTATATTCACATACATACATGCTCTCAGACAAACAGACCAACAGACAAAGAAATAGACAACACACAAAAAGATAGGCACAAATGCAAAAGAGGTCATCTTTATTTTTTAAATGGTTTGCAGACATAGACTGAGAACTTGACTACTTAAATGTGGGACTATTTTCCTGACACAGAACGGAGAGGACAATCAAGGTGACACTAATTTGCTCTGTAGCCCTGATCAGACAGTGTATTCAACTAATGGATCCAGCTTACAGCTCTTGTGTGTACCAAGATAAACCACTATTATAACTGACCACTGACCATGAACTGCATGTTGGCCCAACACTCCTCCTGTGGGCTCAGTGTTCTACACTGCAGCTATGGCCCACATGGACAAAATGGAGAACATCTCAGGGGAAAAGTGTCTTACATTTCATGCCCCATGTAACCGCCTGGTACTTCCACCTTATATAGAACAGGATTTGCTCCACCTCTACCCTAGAGCAGTGTATAAGGACTTCTACTCTTTATGAAACATTGGTCTTCTTCTGTTCTTAAAGATGGAAAAATTTTATTTATTTTTTCCCATCAAATAATTTGAGACTACATATAGCTGATGTGTCATGCAGCTATTAAGTTACATCTGGAACATTCCAGCATCAGACTGTTTTAGTTTAACAGATGATTTAACCAAGCGTGTTGTTGAGTTCAAGAGCAAAACATCTGTAAACCAGAAATTATTTAAACATATTTCCAAAGCAGACATTATTTATTTTAGTTTGAGTTTGTTGTGCCAAGTTAATGGTCGGATATGTAATGTACATATAGTCCATTGCTTGAAATGCTTTGGCATCAAAAGGGTTTAACCCAAATTGGTCTGGTGCTTCTCTCTTGTCTATCCAGTAAGATGTCTTTACAAATACTTCATGTCAAAATAAATAAAGTGAAATCAGCAAAATGATATGGTAAACCTAGGGGAAAATATTGAAATCTGATACTAATGATTTCAATATTTAAATTTCTTTAGACGTATTCATAAAATGGGTTTTCATATGCAGTAGTGTATACCTGTAAGATAAAATGTATTGTGTTTTTTTAGCAAGTGTGAGTAATAACAAACTCAAGTTTTTAGATAAGTTTAAATACTAAATTGTAAAAATAAGTACCAGTGTTAAGGAATGGAGACATGTTTTGTTTCACTCTGTCTGTATCTCTTGTACTGATCAGTAAAAAAATGAATATCTGTATGGTAAGACTCAAATGGACGCTGCAACTCAATTGGTTTTCTTTGTTTCTTTGTTTTTTTGTTTTTTTTTTAAATATACTGAAAAAAAAATATGTGATATACGATACAATGTAAAAGATAAACGTTCTACAAGTCCCTATGCTTCCACTGCAGCATCTTTGGCCTTAAAGGGACACTATAGTCACCAGAACAACTACAGCTTAATGTAGTTGTTCTGGTGTGTATGGTATGTCCCTGCAGGATTTTTAATGTAAGCATTCCTGGCTAGTTACACCTCTAGTGGCAGTTTCTCAGACAACCCCTAGAAGTGCTTCCTGGTTTGCAGCACTAATGTTCAGTGTCTCCACACTGTGCATGGAGGTGCTGAACGTTCCCCATAGAGAGTTGCTAATTGGTGCAGCATTGCATTTTTCCATGCATGCGCAGTAACCAACTAGTGCTTTCCTCTGGGAAAGCATTGAATTGGCTGAGATCATCACATTTAGAGTGCCAAGAGGAGTGGACCGATAGCCTTACATAGGGTTCCGTATGGCTCCCTTAGAGCGCCCCTGAAGCAGGCGCTTACTCAGTAAGGCAGCATAGGCACCTGCTTACCTGGATGGCCAAAATATAACAGAGGGCAGGTAGGAGGCAGGTGGCAGCAGAGCACAGATGTTCTTCCAGTTTTTCATTGTTCTCCGCTCCATGCTGAAATGCCGGCAGCCAGAATATGATGTCACTCTGGCCCCAGCATCACTAAACAGCACACCAGGGAGCAGTGAAGAACTGGAAGATTACAGGACTCACTGAACAACAGGAAAGCACCCACACCAGCTCTCCAAAAGGTAGGAACTTTGGAAGGGCCTAAAAAAATAAAACCAACAGAAATAAAATGAATTTGTGAATGTGTGTGCAAGAATGTGTACGTGTGCCCATCAGTGTGTGTGTTTGTGGGTGTCTGTTGGTGAGTGTGTTTTAAATCAGTGAGAGTGTGTGTATATCATTGAGAGTATGTATGTGTGTGTCTATCAGTAAGTGTTTCAAATCAGTGAGAGTGTGTGTCTGTTAGTGTGTGTCTCTCAATGAGAGTGTCTGTCAGTGTATGTCTCTCAATGAGTGTCTTTCAGTGAGTGTGTTTCAAATCAGTGAGATTTTGTGTCTGTCCTTGAGAGTGTGTGTCAGTGTGTGTCTCTCAAAGTGTGTGACTGTAGGTGAGTGTGTGTCTGACTACAAAAAGGAGTAGAGCTTATAGATGGAGAGTTGGAGTCATTGCCATAGAAAAATGCATGCCTGGACTGGACATTTGGAAAGGGGAGGAGTTAGTAATATGACCAAACCAAAACAAATTATGTACCAAGGGTGCCCCCACCCTAAGATTGGCCCTGATTATTTATATAGTGTCAAAATATATCGCAGTGCTGTGTATCATACAATGGAAAGAATTGAAAACGAGTAGTTAACATACAGAAAATTAACAGAGATAAAAGATCCTGCTTAAATAAGCATACACTCTATAAATAAGGGGTATAGACACACAAGAGGAAAAATTGTTATAGAAATATAGCAAGTAGGTAATTGATTTGATGAATCTACAAACTGAAAACTAGTAAGAACTCAAATTGACAGGGTATTCATGACAGAGAGTAAACTTGTAGAAAACAGTCGGAGACTTTGTAATAAGCAAATAATCCTAAAATGCCTGTGAGCCATTTAAGTCATAAAAACAAATTATAAAAATGGAGAATTACTTCTATCTTCTTTTGGGAAAACTCCAGAGGTAGGAATGAAAATTCTGAAAATCAATATAGATAGAATTCTAGTATGAGCATACAAGGAAGTGGCATAGGAAACCAACTATGAGGGTATAATTATTGAATTATTTTGCTCAGTAATTGGACATATAAAATGAATATAACTTTTCTAGTGTAAACAGATGTGTGAAAATCTGCATTTTGTTATTTTTTAACATAATTTGGACTGTGTGTTTATGTAAAATTCAGGCTAGTTTACCTTCTCGGTTACATATCTACTATGGAATAATGTCAAATACTAATTGGGTGGTATTATATTCTATAAAACCAGATTCAATAATTAAATTGAATGTTTATTGGCACAGGATTTGCGATAAATTGAAGAAAACAATCCACTGACCCCACACTTTGCTTTGAGATTTATATTTAGTATACTATTCATTTTAAAACTACCATGACTGAAGAATGATTGTAAACAGTTGGAAACTAATATTTAAGGGGTTATTTACACTGTGAATTGTGGAGAATGTCTAATTAAAATCCGAAACAGCCAACTTTAAAAAATGTATCCCATTTTGAATTTTTTTCTAGTTAATTTGTTTTAATCTAAAACCCGAAATTCCTTTGATTTCTCCAAAATGTCTCATAATTTAAAAAAACACTGTGCGTAGTGTAGCCACTTCAACAGATTGAAGTGGTTATGATGCCTGGAGTCCATGAGCACCAGATCCCGCATCACTACTAGATGGTTTACTTACCATTTAGTAGAACAGGCATAGGAAACCTTTGGCACTGCAGATCTTTTGGACTACACCTCCCATGATGCTTTGCCAGCATTATGGGGGATGTAGTCCACAACATCTGGAGTGCCGAAGGTTACCTACCCCTGTGGTAGAGAAACTCATTCCCTGGCAGCCTGCAGCTTGGACTCCAATGTCAAAATGGCAGAGGCTGAGCTATACTCCACTTCACGCCATACCAGGCTGAATGTTTTCAGTCAATCACTGCTCCAGTCTCTGGTATGACTTGGTATGGTGCACCGTAGAAGCATAACTCAGCCTCATTGGAGACCAGACTTTCAGCTGCCAGGGACAAAACCAAAAGTTATCCATTTAGTAGAGATGTAGGACTTGTCACCTACAGACTCAAGGCACCATAACCACTTAAATCAATTGCAATGAAGTTGTTACTGTATGATACCAGGAGGTCCCACGTGCATGTTACCTTAAGGGGTAAACTACTTAGAAACGGTTTATCCCCAAACTGTCAAAGACTGTCTCCTTCTACTCTGCCAATTAGCTTCTTCTGATGGTCCAAGGCTTCAGTCAGGAAGCTAATGATAATGAATGGGGAGCGAATGATAAGCTGAGAGTGTCCAGTCCAAAGAACTTTTGACATTTGTTTTTTGTTTTTATCATTTCTGGGCTATAATGTTTTCTACTTTATATTGGATTCTGCCTGCATGTATACATAACTCTTATTTTGTTATTTGTTTGGTCCTACTTTTCCTCAACGTTGTCGTATTGAAAAAAAAAACAATTCAATAAACATTTTAATAATAATAATAAAAAATTAAAAAAATCTATTTTATTATTAATAGCATAAAGTCAACCTGTATTTAAATAAAACAGTCACTTTTTGATAAAGGCCATTGCTTCTAAAAATCCTCAGACCCCTTCTTCCAGGAAGCTCTTACCTAGGGTAAGGCTTATTATTTACAACAAATGTTATTATTAATTATATGTATATGTATGAATAACTACCTCTTGGTAAGGAGCGTAATTTACCAGACATCCCTGTGTTTACATTTTTTATCATTCCTTGCAACTTTACAAGAAGCTGCAGACAAAGATTTGCATTGTTTTTTTTTTCATTAGATGTTTATTGAAAAACATTTTCAAAGTAGGGGTACAGTAAATAAAAAGGGGGAGTAATAAACATGAAAAAAAAGGGATTTCATACAACAATAAATGCATTGTAATCTGAATCACACATCTGTATTGTACATCTGTTTGCATTAAGGGCAGGCTGATTTTCCTATACAGATTGAAGTGGGCTAATGACGCTTCGGGCAGTTAACCCCTCCCCCCCACCTTTTTTCCATTACCAAGACCCCTACATGTGCATATCTGGACCTCAGTACTGTCACTACCTATGGCGGGGTGGTTGTATGTAAAGCTATACAGCCCAGGCAATTTACACATAACACATTTACAAGTTATAGACATCACTTTTCCCGTGTAATCTGCTCAGTCCTATGTGTTTTAGGTTTTAGGAGTGCGTTATAAATTACCACCTATAACTGTTTGTGTCACTTATGCTGTGGTATTATCTTGGTGTGTGATGTTTTGTGTATAGTCAGTCCATGATTTGTACGTGTCTATGAGCGTCAGTCTGTTTTTGTGCCGATATTGCTGACATCCATTCGAATAAGTAGTATTGGTGTATTTTGTCAAGTAACAAATGTTGTCATGAGCCATGAGGTGTGCTTCCAATTGAGTGCTATGAGGTTCCTTGCTGCAATTTGCCTTGTTTTGAATAAATAATTAATAGTTAAATGTATGTACGCCTTTAAAACTCTTTTTGCTGAGGTTCTAATTCTAATACATTAAATGTAGATGGTGATATAGCTATTTCGATCATGATAATTTTGTAGAAAAATAATAAAGAAGATGTAGAATAATAAATAATCTTGATTAGTTTATGCTACATGATGTGCAGTAGGATGTCAGAGAACCAAAATGCAGTTCAGGGGTTCGACTAAAGTAAATTAAAGTTACAATTGCACTTTGCAGTTAATCAACAACAAAAAAAGGCAATACAATTTGTAGTTTCAGTCATTTACCATTTAAAGTACTTTTTGTTAGGAGAACAGGTGGAGTGGCATATTTAAGTGTTGCTTAAACATTTTGTTTTTCTTTTCTTTTGTATGATGCTCCATTAAGCGTACCCTTTAGCAATACATTTATTCTAACCTAAAATTATTGCATCATTTTAATGTCACTGCACAAACAGAGCTATCTGTGCATAAGCAATAATCAGCCATTTATTTAAATACTTATCTGAAATGTAATTGACAGTTTGTAACTGTGTTGAAAGTACTTTTTTTTCTTTTTTTATACAAAAAATCCATTGCAGTTGCTTAATTTACAATCCTTTAAACACTTCTCAGAAATAAATACACGGTTTCATTGCAAAGCTAATATAGAACTATTGATCTGATGATGCATTCACATTAAACACTTCACGATCTATAGTACTAGTTCAATCCTCAGGGACATAAGCCTATTCTTAGCTGGGTCAATTCAACCTTTCATCACTTTGAGGTCTATAACATAAGTATCAGAGAGTTGGGTAATATCTAAGCCGAGGACACTTCAAGACAAGAGGAATCTCAATGTATTCTTCTTTGTAAAACACTTTAATTATAATGATTTACTACATGGAGTGGAAAAAATATGGTGATAAATACAGCATTTTCATAATGATATTTTGAGCGCTACGTTAATAGTGAATCTGTACACCATAGGCAGAACTTGATGGACTCTAAAACTTTTTTCAGCATGTATTACTCTGTAACTATGTCGTGATTTATGACATGGCCTTTGCTCATGAAATCCAAGAACAGAACAACTATATAGTTAATCCTGTTACGACCTTACACAACTGCAAAAATAAAATATGCTGGCAAACTTGAGAAGCTCTTAGGATATGTAATTCACTGTAGCTGTTACAGAGTAATAAATGGTTATAAAACACATTCTCTTGACAAGGGTAAATAAAAAAGGAAAATATAAATCATGCATCTGTCCCTTTGACTTTAATCGTGGAAAATTATGAAAATAAACAGATAAGGGCAAAACAGCACCTGTTCTTTTTATCTGGTCTTATGTTAAAGATATTTAGACATGTATGAGTTCCAGGCAACGTTAAAGAAATTAATACTCTGAAGCTTTGCTCGTTTCAAACATTTGGAATATTAAACACAAACTGCAAGTAAAATAAGTGAGACGACACTTAAATAGTTGTATGCGTTCAAGGCAACGTTTAAGATTTTTATTTAATTTTTTTGTTTTGTGGTACAATTACAAGTTCACAGATAGGTAAAGACATGGCAATATAAAAGCAAAATAAAACACAATAGAGTGTGAACAAAATTATACAATATTTATCAAGATTTTGCACATTTTTAAAATAAGATAATGCTTTTGCATCCCATCCTAAACTAAGCCTACACTGCTCTTCGTAACTGAGAGCCAAATAAACCAAATAAACTATGTATGACTGTGATTTATATCCACCAGTGATGCAGGCCACATATGTAGCTGGTACTGGTAATAAATGCAAAAGAAAGATATACGGTTAGCAAAAATATTAATCCACAGAAAATGGAGAATTGCCTATTAGGTATAGCTCACAGTATCTGCCAGGAGGTTTTAAAACACTATTGTTTGATGGAGTTATTCTTGCTGGCTTGCGATCTCGTTTAAAAAGTAAACCAAAAAAAAATACCTTTTCCATCCCATACCATGGCCAAGTTCTCCCAACAACCCGCCGCTCCGGTGATGTCACTCCCCCTCACTGCAGTGACAGGGATGTTCCATGGGGTGTGTTAGTGGAGTACTTGGGAAACACAGAGGTGGAGGCCCCTCTGTCCTATATCACCAGCTTACTATGTGTGCTGTCAACCGACGGCAAATGTGCACAGATTTATCATTAGCTAGTCCTGGAAGTCTCATTCCTAGTTTTCTAATGATGCTGTTGGAGGTAAGGTTACATACCTTCTAACTCTATTGTCCAGAATTGGGCAGGTCAGTGACCCAGTCCATCCTACTGAGGACAAAGCACACAAAGCACAGCACAAAGCAAACATTTATGCGTCTCATGGATTCGACACTTTCCATTGAGATGAACTGCAGGCACAGCATGACAATTGCTGCAAATGTGCCCTGCATCCCAATACTGGTATGTAAGGACCATTGGATTGGCTCGGAGATCTCTTTAAAGAAATGTGGGACAAAGGGAGACCAGGAGGCTCTCCAACTCTCCAGCGTTATAATAAATGTAATCAGTTTAATGTTAGAGTGTTACTTGAATTATATAGCCAACATTCTTCTGCAGCAGCAATGGGGTTGGAATGTTATGCTTGCTCTGGTCCTATAATTTAAGTTTACCCATACTTATCTTGAGGAAGCTTCTATTTGCAACTCAACCCTTCTGTTCATGAGATGGCTATAACTGGCAATATATTTTTCTTTTATAATTTTATTTTTTATACTCTAGAGTGTTAAGCCCATATTGTTAAATGTAAATTGTGAATCCCTTCAGGGCCAGGATTTGGAAAATATATTGTTGTGACAGCACAAACATATCAGAGGTGCTAAGGAAGTTAAAGGCTAATTGAACTTAAAAATTTTGCTAAAAAGTGCAATTCAAATATTTAATATAAAGCAACAAATATGGTTCATTTAGTTTGACTATCTAAGCAGTTCCCAAACCTCAGTACATTGGCAGCAAACAACCAGAATATAAATGATGCTTATCCTGTTTGTACTTTCTTTATTTAAATAAGACGTCCTGCAGTGAAATACTGTTTTTAATCATGTTGGCACACGCAGTCTAGTAGAGACAGATTGCAAGAACACATGAAAAAAAAACATTCAATTCTAACTAACATTAATGAATGTGAATTAATGCATAATTTAATTTATACACAAATACATATAATGTTCACTCAGGTCTCAGCTAGGTCAGTTCAAAAGATCTTTACTATTCAACCGTTTGAGTGCCAAGTCATTGAGAGCATAATTTAGTTTTATTGAACTAAATGCACTTTAAAAATTAAAATGACTGTCGCATACCACGCCAACATTTTTATTTTATTATTATTAGTATTTATAGATCACCAACTTATTCCGCATCACTTTACGATATTATAAAAGGGAGAAGTTTAACAATAAAGAAACAGTTATAAAATGTTACGGGAACAATAGCTTGATGAGCACCCTGCTCAAATGAGCTTACAGTCTAAAGGTTGTATCATCACGAAAATCTTTATGAAATACTCACATTGACTGTGTAGGACTAGAACATGAATTCCAACACAGTAGGGACAACTTTGTCTTAGTATATTCCTTTTGCTTGACAAAACTTGACAAAAGACGGGGCTACTACCATCAAGTTTTTTCATTTCTCCCAGCCGTCACTAGTGACATCTGCAGCAGGCTCGTGGTATTTTCCATAGATTACTTCTACTTTTGCACACTTGAAAGAGTATAGCACTGATGTGAATTCCTGGCAGATGAAGCGACATGAGCAGAAGTGGACCAACAGGAAGACCCTGGCAGCAGCCCCAAGAAAAAAACACCTTCCCCTGCACTCTTGCAAGCGGAACAAAATATGCAAACACCCCAAACGGTGACAGAATCGCTTTAAATCAGCTCTGTCACACTCATCTCACCAATGGGCATTTCAGACATATAGAATCTTTATGAAATACTGATATTGTCTTTTTTGGAATTTCACTACCATTCCCACCCTGTCTAGAGATATATTGAGACAAACTATGGACTACTTTGCCTTAGTATTTTTCCTGCTCTTCACAAAATGGCAAGTTATCTTTTGTCAAGCTTTGCATTACTTCCAGCCTTCACCAGTGATGCCTGTAGGCAAAATAAGCTCTTTCAATAAAGGATCATGTGGTCTCAAGAGTACATAGCTGATGTTGGTTCCTGACACCTGAAGAAGAGTGGACAAATGATGGTGCTCACGATGAGCAGGTTCAGGTATGTCAAACCTACCTTCCCCTGCCGCCATGGCCACCAAATTCCCAGCAACGATGTCAAAATCGTTGGTCATTGCAAATTATGCAGAGACCACAGACGGTGACATCAGCTTTAAGTAAAAAATTATAAAAATTAATTATGATATACAAAGAGATTTTTTAGATATCCATAAATAATTCATAGACAGGATATTTTAAAGTATTTGTAAATATGTGAAATATGTACACAGTCTCTTTAGAGTACACTTGTTTCTGTAAATATAAAGCGTTTAGTTTCCATTTAAAAAAGGCCATAATCCAGAATTGCTTTCACAATGCTTTATATCCCACTACACAGTGTACCTTTAATGAAGGTTGCTGGTAATATATATATATAAAAAATTTCTTATAAGACTGCAGCTGTGTCAGGAGAAAGGAAGCAAAGTTAACAAAGTATTGGTAACTTATGCAAAGTCAATTCTTCCTGCAGCAATCACATCTGTGGATTCGATCATTATGCCTTTTCCTGTTCTGATCTTTTCAAGTAATTCTTACTGTTAAATAATTTATTGTGTGGTTTGGAGAAAATGCAGTGTAATTATCTGCACATAATGCACAGAAAATGAAAACAATATCTACATATTATTTATTGACCTCTATGATATTTGTACTAAATAGAAATTGGTTGCCATAAGGTGCATGCATTACAAAATAAAATATCGATCTTTATTGTGTAAACACAGCAAAGGAAAAATACTTTAAAATATTTGCAGAAACACTTTATACATTATGCAGTGCAGAAATAAAACATTGTAATTAAATAGCAGAAAAAAACATGACTTTCTTGTTTACCCATATCTTTAAAATAGATGAGATTTAGAACACTTTAGATGTACTTTTCCTCATTGTACTTGTGTGTTCATGAGTACTAGATATATTTGTGTGACAGTGTGTATATGCTAAATCTAATTTTTTTTCTAAAATCTGTTTAATATTTAATACTTTATCATTGGCATTTTGTTGTTCCCATTGCTTAAAGTAACACACAAAGCACCACAACTACTACAACTTAGCACGTAACCCACATTTCTTTATGTATGTTAAGCTACACTTGGCCAACACAACAAACGAAAGACTTTCGAAAGTTTGGAAAATATGCTTTCATTATTACTATGTGTTTTCCCTACATTATTGTAGAATTCTAAAGGACCGTCCAAGCACTACAACTACTTCTGTCCACTGTAATGGTCATGGTGCGAGAAGTACCCTGATGCCTACCCAGAGTAAGTAGTCAAACTTTTTTGTATAGTTTGACAACTAACTAACCTGAGTTCCTTGGGCAACCACATCGCTACAGATTAAAGAATGGCAGACGATTAAGGACTATCAAGGCTGATTAAGGACTGGCTGAAAGCACTCAAATGGTGTGATCTTACATGATCTTGCTAAGGTCTGTAGAGATATCCTGATTCATTTGCCAGAGAAGATCAAAATCAGGGGCTGTGGGTGCCCAGCAGGATCCAGATATCTTGTCAAACTGTCAACAATTTGACTATTTACTGTGGGACAGTGTCAGAGCACTTCTGGCACCATAATCACTATTGTGGTCTCTAGTTGTTATTGTGCTTGGAGAGTTATTTTAGCAACTAGCCTCTTCATCTATATTTTCTGTGCTTAACCTACTCACAACTTTTTTTTTGTCCCAATCATAGAACACATGCATAATTACGTGTCTGTTAGTCCACCCATTGTACAGCACTACAGACTTTGCTGGCGCTATATAAATAATAAAATAATAATAATAATAATATCAGTTATCTTTGATTGTCCTTTTCTGGCTTTTCACATATTTTAAATTGAACCAACTTATTGCTGTACATACATTTGTCCAAAAAGTCCAAAAATACTGCCCACTACTGAATAATCTTATAATTTCATACTTTTAAATCAAGCAATATATAAAACAGTTTTAACTGCTGAAATTCAATTCACAATTTACAAATAAACATCTTTTTTTACGGGGTAATTACAAAGGAACTACAAGACACATTTTTTTGTTTCTGAGATACTGTAATTAATAAATTGCAGGGGTAACACCACCTTTGCGCTTCCAGGTCTGTAGCGGAGTTTCACTCCACTAGCCAACGTTGGACGTCTTCACAATTTGCCAATTTGACGATATAATTGTTGTGATATGTTTTACTGTTTTGAAACACTAATATTTGTGTTCAACGAAGTCTCCCGAGTATAACAGTACCCCTCATATACAGGTTTTATGGTGTTTTTAAAAGTTACAGAGTCAAATATAAGGCTTGTGTTTCAGTTTTTTCACATTAAAATTGACCGTACGGTAGCTCAGGAATGAAAATTACCCCCATGATGGCATACCATTTGCAATAGTAGACAACCCAGGGTATTGCAAATGGGATATATTCAGTCTTTTTTAGTAGCCACTTAGTCACAAACACTGGTGAACTTGACCCCGAACCCGAACCCCATTGAAGTCAATGCACATGTACTGTTTCACCATGTTTCTGAAATGCTGCCTCCTGCTAAGACGTTCAATATCAGATGGTGGTGCTGGTTGTTGTGGCGTGCTGACAAAGCTTTTCCACATTTCGGCCATGCTAACCCTGCCCCCTGAGGTGCTGGCGGTGCCCAAGCTGCATTGGCGACCTCTTCCTTCTCCTCTGCCTTCACCTTGTGCTTCCCCTGAGCCCCCGGTGTCAGTTGGGAATGTCCACAGCAACGCGTCTACCAGCGTGCGCTTGTAGTCGTGCATCTTCCGATCATGCTCCAGTGAGGGAATTAAGGACCGCACGTTGTCCTTGTAACAGGGATCCAGCAGGGTGGCCACTCAGTAATCAGCACAAGTTAGAATGTGGGCAACTCGGAAGTCCATGCGCAGGCACTGCAGCATGTAGTCGCTCATGTGTGCCAGGCTGCCCAGAGGCAAGGACAAGCTGTCCTCTGTGGGAGGTGTATCGTCTGTGTCCTCCGTATCCCCCCGCATCACGCTTCAGTGATGCCCACGAGCAGCATTGGGTGCCACCCTGCTGTGAACACGGTTCCTCATCCTCCTGAACTGTGCCCTGGCTGGACAATTGTGTAGCTGGCCTATGCTGGTGCAAGAACCCACCCTCCAAGCCACTTGTGAATGACTGGCCTAATAACGGTGGAAATGACCCCTCTTCCTCCTCCTCTTCCTCCTGTGCCACATCCTCTTCCTTCATCGCCCGAAGTGTTTTTTCAAGGAGACGTAGAAGCGGGATAGTAAGGCTGAGAATGGTGTCGTTGGCACTGGCCATGTTGGTGGAGTACTCAAAACGGCGCAAAATGGCACACAGGTCTCACATGGAGGCCCAATCATTGGTGGTGAAGTGGTGCTGTTCCGCAGAGCGACTGACACGTGCGTGCTGCAGCTGAAACTCCACTATCGCCTGCTGTTGCTCTCACAGTCTCTCCAGCATATGCAAGGTGGAGTTTCACCTTGTGGGCACGTCGCATATGAGGCAGTGAGCAGGAAGGCCGAAGTTACGCTGCAGCGCAGACAGGCAAGCAGCAGCAGGGTGAGAACGCCGAAAGCGCGCACAGATGGCCCACACTTTCTGCAGCAGCTCTGATATATCTGGTTAGTTTTTCAGGAATTTCTGCACCACCAAATTCAGCACATGCGCCAGGCAAGGGATGTGCGTCAAACCGGCTAGGCCCAGAGCTGCTACGAGATTTTGCCCATTATCGCACACCACCAGGCCGGGCTTGAGGCTCAGTGGCATCAACCACTCATCGGTCTGTTGTTCCATGCCCATCCACAGCTCCTGCGCAGTGTGGGGTTTTTACCGCAAACATATGAGTTTTAAAACAGCCTGTTGTCATTCCCCCCTGGCTGTGCTGAAGTTGGTGGTGAAAGTGTTACGCTGACCAGATAAAACAAATATATAAAAAACACTCTGTGAGAAAGTCCATAAAAATCCACTTTACGCGTTTCACCTATGGAGGCTTCTTCTGAAACGCGTAAAGTGGATTTTTTTTCAGAAGAAGCCTCCATAGGTGAATGTGTATAATAAACAGTTATAATATTTTTTATCACTCTGAGATATCCATTATTATTATATTTTTTTTTTTTCCTGGTTAACATCTTATTCCCTGGTGGGGATTATACCACCTACACTTTATAAACTAGAGTGAGGCACGCTCTAGTAAATGTGAATACGATACCTTATATTTATTTATTATCCCAAAAGATATCAGTATCTACTGCACTATGTGGATTCTTCTGTCTATCTATGTGTTCTTTATTTGAGACCATCAAGACGTGGACCACTTTATATCTATCCTAAGACAGGGATTATTCCGTCTATGCGCAAGAACAGTAGAGCTCTGTATTTAGCTCTGTCAAATGTGAGTGTACATCTACCTACTCTTCGTTTATCTACGAAATATTAACAGTGTTACACTATTATTTGTGTATCTTTTTCTCTTTTTGAGGTATACTACTGAAATTATATGACCATAAGGATGTGAGTACGTATATTCGTATCACAATAAGGGCGCGGTTTCCTTTTTTCTTTGTTCACTATTTTAAAACTGTCTGTCTCCATCAGATGGAATGACAGCATTTCAAAGGCCACGAATTTTGAAATGCTGGCATTCAGGGCCAAAGATCGCGGGTGGCTATGGGGGTACTTCCTCTTTCTCTCCAGTGTTTGGGAGATGGACAGCTGAACGCTTCAATGGGACAGTGTGGAGATGCTTGGGGACGGTGGCGGACGTGGTGGCGTTGCTGCCACATCCTCTGTTTGCGGGGTGGCAGGTGCCACTGTGACTCAAGAGGTGGAGGAAGAGGCTGATACAGCAGCAGAAGAGGAAGCAGGAGGAGCCTGAGACCTTTCTTGGTTTTTGAGGTGCTTACTTCTCTGCAGCTCGTGCTTTGCATGTAGATGCCTGGTCATGCAGGTTGTGCTCAGGTTTAGCACGTTTATGCCTCGCTTCAGGCTCTGATTGCACAGCGTGCAAACCACTCGTGTCTTGTCGTCAGCACATTGTCTGAAGAAATGCCACACCAGGGAACTCCTTGGAGCTGTTTTTTTGGTGTGCTCGGTCCCTGGGTGAGGTGGGCAGTAGCAGGCGTACTGTCCAGGGGACGGCCGCTCCACTCTTATGCTGTGCTGGTGCCTCTGTGCGACCACCGTCTCTTCCTCCAAACTGCACACGTCACTTGCATAACCTTGATTCCATGTGGGATCTAGGACCTCATCATCCTCCACATCATCTTCCACCCACTCCTCAACCCTGCCCTCCTTGCCGGTCTGCACACTGCAGAAAGCCACAGCAGTTGGCACCTGTGTTTCGTCATCATCAGAGACGTGCTGCGGTGGTCCTCGCATGTCCACATCCTGACACATAAGTGGTTGTGCATCAGCGCACTCAATCTCTTCCATTTCTGGGGCAGGACTAGGTGGATGGCCCACGGAAACCCCGCCAGCAGAGTCATCAAAAAGCATAAGAGACTGCTGCATGACTTGTGGCTCACACTGCTTGGCTGATTTGCAAGGGGGTGAGGTAAAAAGACAGATGGCCATGGGCTGCAGGTGCCAACTCTGAGCTTTCAGCAGGGGACCGGGTGGGAGACAATGTGAAGGAACTAGAGGCACTGTCAGCCATCCAATCTACTATCGCCTGTACTTGTTCTGGCCTCACCATTCGTAGAGCGGCATTCGGGCCTACCAAATAACGCTGAAGGTTTTGTCGCATACTCATACCTGAGGAAGGTGTTTCACTTGTGCGTGCAGCTGGCACAGATCAACTACGTCCTCTCCTTGCAACAGGAGCTCAACCAACACCAACAGCACCACGACTAGGGCCACGTCCCTTATTTGATGCTCTTCTCATTCTTTGCGTTCACCCACCAAACTAACAGATGGTTTATGTCAGGCGACAATGTAACCGCCAATAGTCAACAATTTTTTTTATTTTTTTTAGTTTATTGAACTGCAAGAAATGCACAGCAGGCCGCAAATGTACTATGCAGCACAAAAAAATTTGAATTTTTGAAAGTGCGATGTAACCACAGTATTTGACGGTTCTATTTGACTCTCAGATATGAAGTGCACACCACAAATTTACTTTTTAGCACCAAAAAAATGTGAATTAGTCAAACTGCAATGTCACAGCAGTATTTGACGGTTCTATTTGACTCTCAGATATGAAGTGCACGCCACAAACGTACTTTTTAGCACACAAAAAATGTGAATTAGTCAAACTGCAATGTCACAGCAGTATTTGACGGTTCTATTTGACTCTCAGATATGAAGTGCACGCCACAAATGTACTTTTTATCACCAAAGAAATATGAATTAGTCAAACTGCAATGTCAGTCAGTTTTGACGGTTTTTGTTGACTCTCAGATATGAAGTGCACGCCACAAATTTTCTTTTTAGCACCAAAGAAATTTGAATTTTTTAAAGTGCGATGTAACCACAGTATTTGACGGTTCTATTTGACTCTCAGATATGAAGTGCACGCCCCAAATTTTCTTTTTAGCACCAAAGAAATGTGAATTTTTTAAAGTGCGATGTAACCACAGTATTTGAAGGTTCTATTTGACTCTCAGATATGAAGTGCATGCCCCAAATTTACTTTTTAGCACTAAAGAAATGTGAATTTTTTAAAGTGTGATGTAACCACAGTATTTGACGGTTCAATTTGACTCTCAGATATGAAGTGCACGCCCCAAATGTACTATTTAGCACCTTAAAAATTAGAATTAGTTAAACTGCAATGTCACAGCAGTATTTGACGGTTCTATTTGACTCTCAGATATGAAGTGCACGCCACAAATGTACTTTTTAGCACACAAAAAATGTGAATTAGTCAAACTGCAATGTCACAGCAGTATTTGACGGTTCTATTTGACTCTCAGATATGAAGTGCACGCCACAAATGTACTTTTTAGCACCAAAAAAATATGAATTAGTCAAACTGCAATGTCACAGCAGATTTGACGGTTTTTGTTGACTCTCAGATATGAAGTGCACGCCCCAAATTTTCTTTTTAGCACCAAAGAAATTTGAATTTTTCAAAGTGCGATGTAACCACAGTATTTGACGGTTCTATTTGACTCTCAGATATGAAGTGCACGCCCCAAATGTACTATTTAGCACCTTAAAAATTTGAATTAGTTAAACTGCAATGTCACAGCAGTATTTGACGGTTCTATTTGACTCTCAGATATGAAGTGCACGCCACAAATGTACTTTTTAGCACACAAAAAATGTGAATTAGTCAAACTGCAATGTCACAGCAGTATTTGACGGTTCTATTTGACTCTCAGATATGAAGTGCACGCCACAAATGTACTTTTTAGCACCAAAGAAATATGAATTAGTCAAACTGCAATGTCACAGCAGTTTTGACGGTTTTTGTTGACTCTCAGATATGAAGTGCACGCTCCAAATTTACTTTTTAGCACCAAAGAAATGTGAATTTTTCAAAGTGCGATGTAACCACAGTATTTGATGGTTCTATTTGACTCTCAGATATGAAGTGCAGGCCACAAATATACTATTTAGCACCTAAAAAATTTGAATGTTTAAAACTGCGATGTAACCACAGTATTTGACGGTTCTATTTGACTCTCAGATATTAAGTACAGGCACCAAATGGACTATATTAGCACCAAAAAAATTAGAATTTTTAAAACTGTGCTGTAACCACAGTATTTGACGGTTCTATTTGACTCTCAGATGTGAAGTGCAGGCCTCAAATAAACTATTTAGCACTAGTGATGTCCCGAACTGTTCGCCGAACGGTTGGCCACGGTTCGCCACGAACGGTTCGCCACGAACGGTTTCGCCACGGACTCATCATTGAGTAAACTTTGACCCTGTACCTCACAGTCAGCAGACACATTCCAGCCAATCAGCAGCAGACCCTCCCTCCCAGACCCTCCCACCTCCTGGACAGCTCACTAAGAATGCAGCTTCACAATGGATTCTGTCCAGGAGGTGGGAGGGTCTGGGAGGGAGGGTCTGCTGCTGATTGGCTGGAATGTGTCTGCTGACTGTGAGGTACAGGGTCAAAGTTTACTCAATGATGAGTCCGTGGCGAACTGTTCGCAGCGAACAGTTCGGGACATCACTATTTAGCACCTAAAAAATTTGCATTTTTCAAAGTGCGATGTAACCACAGTATTTGACAGCTCTATTTGACTCTCAGATATGAAGTGCAGGCCCCAAATGTACTATTTAACACCAAAAATATTTGAATTTTTAAAACTGCGCTGTAACCACAGTATTTGACAGTTCTATTTGACTCTCAGATATGAAATGCATGCCCCAAATTTACTTTTTAGCACCAAAGAAATGTGAATCTTTCAAAGTGCGTTGTAACCACAGTATTTGACGCTTCTATTTGACTCTCAGATATGAAGTGCACCGCAGGCCGCAAAGGTACTATTTAGCACCCAAAAAAATTGAATTTTTAAAACTGCTATGTTACAGCAGTATTTGACGGTTCTATTTGACTCTCAGCTATGAAGTGCACACCCCAAATGTACTATTGAGCACCTAAAAAATTTGAATGTTTAAAACTGCGCTGTAACCACAATATTTGAAGGTTCTATTTGACTCTCAGATATGAAGTGTACTGCAGGCCGCAAATGTACTATTTGGCACCAAAAAGTTAGATTTTTTAAACCAACAATGTAACAGTAGTATTTAAGGGTTTTATTGGACTGCAAGAAATGCGCCGCAGGCCTCAAATGTTCTATTTAGCACAAAAAAGTGTGATTTTTTAAACCAACAATGTAACAGTAGTATTTAAGTGTTTTATTGGACTGCAAGAAATGCAGTACGCAAATGTACTATTTAGCACAAAAAAATTGCAGTATTTAAAAATGCCTAGATGTTGCCCACTGAGCTACCAGAACAGGGTTAAAGTAATGTGCCTGGTACACATGCAGTTGCAAGTGCACTGCACTCTCTGTGGCACTGGGCTCAGGGCAGGGTAGTACATACAAAAATGTAGTATAGCACCCACAAAAATAACCGCTGTAGTTTGCAGATTCAACACCAGAATTCTTTCCTAATCTGTCCCTCACAGCTGCAGCATCCTCTCTCTACACTAATAAGAGGTCATGTGACGTGCGGCGCTACGTGACTCCAGCTTATATATAGAGGCTGGGTCACATGCTGCACTGGCCAATCACAGCCATGCCATTAGTAGGCATGGCTGTGATGGCTTCTAAGGGCACACAAGTCAAACGCTTGTTGGTTGGCAGCCTTTCAAAATGCGCCATTAAATCAACGAACACCGAACTCCAAGTCGAACATACACTGATATGTCCATGTTCGGGTCCGGGGTCCAAAAACCATAATATTCGGTACGAACCCGAACTTTACAGTTCGGGTTCGCTCAACTCTAATAATAAGTGTGGGTGCATTTAATATCAAAGAGGTGAATTACGGTTGGACAGACATATAGCGCAAATGCCAGGTTTTGTTTACGTTTTGGTTTGATCGCAACTTGTACATTTGGCTGTGGTCTTAAGGAGTTAAGTGAAATACCACCTTTCTTATAAATTTTTCCCACTATTCAAACTGATGTTGCAGCTATTAAAGTACACATTGCTGAACAATACAAAGGCATCAAGAAATTCTGCAAATACACTATATATCACAGAATCAAGTTGAATCTTTCCATCATACTGGGTTTTTAATTTTTTTTGGGGGGCAAAATGCTTATTTCCCGATAGTCTTTAGATATCAGTATTTTTAAAGGAACATGAACTCTTAAAGGGCCATTGCAGACTTCTAAAGCAGTTTGCTGAAGTGATTTTTGTGTAGAGTTCCTCTTTATTAATTTAACAAAAAGTGCAAATTTCAACAGAAATTGGCATTTGTATATATTAACCTTGTTACACCCCTATGGCTGTCAATCAGACAACTGGTTATGTTACTTCCTGGTTGCTAGCTCAGTGGAGATAAACTCAAAAGACAGGCAATTGCTCAGAACACCTGCCTTGCAAAGACTTCTCATTGATCTGCACTGGAAAGTCTGTGATTGGACAGCCATAGAAAGTCTGGGTGGGGTTAGAAGGGGAGGACTTTGCAAAGACTTCAGGCAAGAAAACTGCAAGCTGTTTTTAGCTATACTCACAATGGAAAAAATGCATAATTAAATTAAATTTACTGAACTGTAAAAAAATTTAATAATATATATTTTTTTAATAATGAATATAATATATATTATATATAATATTTATTATTATTATTAAAAAAAAAATGGCTCTGGAGTGTCCCATTAACCATTCAAAGGAATTGAACTAAAGTTCCATAATTACATCTATAGTTACTTAGCTACATAGATGAAAAGAGACTTGTGTCCATCAAGTTCAGCCTTTCTCACATCTGTTTTAGCTGTTGATGCAAAGGAAGACAAAAAAAAAACACAGTTTGAAGCTTCCAATTCTGCAACAAACTAGGACAAAAAAATACTTCTTGACCCCAGAATAGCAGTCAAATATCTTTCCTTAGATCAAGAAGTTATTAAATCCTGAATAGGCTGGAGTGGTCTTACTTGTCTAGGAAAATATAAATAATATAAAACATACACGATAGACAGACAGACAGACAGATAGATAGATAGATAGATAGATAGATAGATAGATAGATAAAATGGTGTTTGTCTGCTTAATATGTACTTTGCTGTTAGACATCTGGTTTGATGCAATACTTTGGATAATATATATTTGCAAATCTTGTTAAATTTAAATTACAACCATCCAATCTCAATCTCTGTAAAGAAAAAAACTATTTATTTTACTGCCTTTTTTAATATGTTTTAAAATATTTAAGAACCATGCCCTACAATTGAAACCATCTTGAATTTGCTTTGCAAAATTGTAAAAAAAAAAAAAAAAGTAGATTTATAACCGTTGTCATAGCACTGACACATTTGGAACAGGTGGTCATTATGCAAGGAAATGGAAGCCAATAAATATCTCTATTGTTTTTTTTCCAGTTTTAAACAATACTCAAGTGTTCAATTATATTTTGCATTTCTCTCTTATTTGACAGCAAGTTATAGAGACTGTGAAACCAGCAGACACACCTTTCCCAGCCCCTCTGGAAGAAGGTATACCTTCGGCATTCCACTCTAAATATTTATCTCCACCAGCCGTCTTGTTACAAGATACAGAGGAAACTAAGGTATGATGGTTAAAGTGTTGCTTCATGTGTTACTCGAACATTATTGGAAAATTACTGTGAATCTCACAAGAGAATATTTAATAAACACATTTTACTGACAATTTTAATCTAAGGAAATCCCTTTTTAATATACTGTTTAACTCTTGTTTTGTGTGAGATAGTATAGCAATGCCAAGAACTAACAAAAATGTGTAACATGAAACTGTAAAATTATTCATTTTTAAAATATTTAACTTCTAAGAAAACAGATGGCACATCTAAACATAACTATATTGTGCATTTAATTATATTATCATGTGCCGTTTCTTGTTGTTTTGCCCTGAAACAGAATTGGCAAGCACACATATTTTAGAAAAATAAAAAGCCCCATAGCTGGGACACACCAGATTATCATAATAGTTTTTATTCTAATTTGCTATATAAGAAAGAATCATATAATAAAATGATATATGCAAATGTCACATTTTTCAATGAATCTATTCAGCATCCAAAACACTTCCTTCCTCAACAAAGATCAGTTAGTTATAGAAAAAAAATCTTAAAAGGAACACTCCCACTTCAATAACAACTTCAGCTCATTGACCGTCATCTTACATTCACGGTTTTCCATTGGTGAAACATCGAACATGGTTCCCCAACATCCTTCACTTTGGCCCCTGGCTTCCTTCCTCAGGCTGCCATAGTATGAGGAAGTATTGGCAGACGGCTAGTGATAGGATTCTCAATGGAAGATAACTGGTCTCCTGTTGAGAAAAATATGACATACTTCTGAGTGACCAGAAGAAGGAAACCAAGGATCAGCCCTGTAGTTGATCACCATCTGCTAACATTTAACATCTGCATACCCCATACCAAAATTTTACCACCATCAACTCTCCAACCTCACAGAAACCTCAACTCCCTCGATCTCCACCAACCTCCAAAGTCTCCTTTTACCCATCTCAAATCTCAACTGCCCTAGCTCTGCAGCCTCACTCTACAACTCCACTCTCTCCTCTCAACTTGACATCATGACACCTCCTACAGTTAAACGCAGCAAGCGCCTCCAATTACAACCCTGGCACACCAAGCTGACCCGTTACCTCCAAAAATTTTCCAGAACTGCTGAACGCTGCTGGAGAAAGTCTCACTTTGCATCTGACTTTGTCCACTATAAATTTATGCTGCGCTCCTACAGCATGGCTCTTTCCTCTGCAAAAGTAAACTACTTGAACAACCTCATAAGCACACTGTCCCATCAACCCAAACACCTGTTTCACACTTTTGATGCTCTTCTTCGCCCTGTGACTCCCCCTCCTTCCACCACCTTGTCTGCCACAAACTTTGCATCTCATTTCACTGTGAAGATCTCTACAATCAGGAAAGAGATCTCTAATCTCTCTCCTACCCCTATCAATACATCACCCAACCCCACTACCCCTGCCATCCTATGCTCATTTGCACCTGCTACAGCACAAGAGGTTTCTGCACTGCTCCTGTCCTCCCGCCCCACCACCCACTCTCTCGATCCTATTCCCTCGCATCTCATCCGCACTTTGTCTCCCTATCTTGTTCTTCCTCTCGCTAATATTTTCAATCTCTTCCTTTCCTCTGGCATATTTCCCTCACCCTTCAAACATGCAACCGTAACCCCGATTCTGAAAAAGCCCAACCTTGATCCCAACTACCCATTCAACTACGCCCTATCTCGCTACTGCCATTTGCCTCCAAGACCCTCAAGGGAGTTGTGTACGCCAGATTGACAGACTTAGTCGAATCCAACTCTCTGCTTGACCCCCTTCAGTCTGGATTCCACGCTGGTCACTCTGTCGAAACTGCTGTGACCAAAGTATCCAACGATTTAATCGCTGCTAAATCTCGCGGCCAATACTCTATCCTAATCCTCCTTGATCTTTCTGCCGCCTTTGACACTGTTGATCATCAACAGCTTCTTCACATTCTCCGTAACTTTGGTCTACGGGATACTGCTCTCTCCTGGTGCTCCTCCTAGCTCTCCCAGCTCTCTTTCAGTGTTTCTTTCTCTGGCTCTGGCTCTGCCTCTTCTCCCCAACCCCTCTCTGTCAAGGTTCTGTCCTCGGCCCCCTACTGTTCTCTATCTATACTGCCTCCCTTGGTAAACTTATCAGCTCCTTTGGCTTCCAATATCATTTATATGCAGATGACACGCAAATCTACCTGTCCTCCCCTGATCTCTCTCCTTCCACCTTGACTCGTGTTTCTGACTGCCTCTCTGCTATTTCCAACTGGATGGCTGCTCACTTCCTTAAACTCAACCTGTCCAAAACAGAACTTCTAGTTTTTCCTCCCTCAAGTGCTGCTACTCCTATGTCTGTCTCCATCCAAGTCAACGGCGCTACTATCACCTCTACCTCTGCCTAGGGGTTCTTTTTGATTCTGACCTCTCTTTTACTCCTCATGTCCAATCGATAGCCAAATCCTGTCGCTTCCAACTCAAGAACATAGTGCGCATCCGCCCATATCTAATGCCGGACGTGGCTAAGGTACTGGTTCATGCTGTTGTTCTCTCTCACCTTGACTATTGCAATCCCCTTCTCACCGGTCTTACATGTTCCCAGCTTGCATCACTGCAATCTATAATGAATGCGACTGCGAGGCTTATTTTCCTGTCCGGTCGCACCTCCCACGCCTCCACGCTCTGTCAGTCCCTGCATTGGCTCCCAGTTAGATATAGGGCCCAATTCAAAATTCTGGCGCTTGCTTACAAATCCGTACATAATGCTGCTCCAACATACCTATCCTCCCTCATACACAAGTATTTCCCGTCGAGACCCCTGCGCTCAGCCCAGGACCTACGCCTATCCTCTGCCCGGATCCCCACCTTTGATGTTCGCCTTCAAGACTTCTCCAGGGCTGCACCTATTCTATGGAACTCCCTTCCCTCCTCAATCAGACTTTCACCCAGCCTCCACTCCTTCAAAAAATCTTTGAAAACTCACTTCTTCATTAAAGCGTATCAAGTAAACTGTCAGCAGGTTTCTCATCCCCCACCCCATGACTCATTTTCTGCAACTGTCAAAAATGACCTACCAAGCACTCAATAAACCCTTCTCTAACAAACTATTTAATTCCCCTACTTTAACCCTTTGTGTCACTATACCCCTCTCCCTCTAGCATGTAAGCTCATGGAGCAGGGCCCTCAACCCCCTCTGTTCCTGTACGTCCAGTGGTCTGATCTCAATTATGTGTCTGTTAGTCCACCCATTGTACAGCACTACAGAATTTGTTGGCGCTATATAAATGATAAAATAATAATATTTGGGAGTATGAGTGCTCCTTTAACCCCTTAAGGACCAAACTTATGGAATAAAAGGGAATCATGACATGTCACACGTCATGTGTCCTTAAGGGGTTAAAGCAGGGGTCCTCAAACTCTGCCCCCCCCCCCCCAGATGTTGCTGAACTACAACTCCCATGATCCTTTGAATTACATAGATAGCCAGAGAATCATGGGAGTTGTAGTTTAGCAACATCTGGGGGGCCGGAGTTTGAGGACCCCTGCTTTAAAGACACCCTGCAGATTACAACAAATTTAAGTGGATTGAAAAGCAAGCAAAATTTAGACATAAATGAAAACACCAAGTGCCATAACTACTGCAGTATGCTGTAGTGGTTCTTTTTACGTGGTGACCCGCAATAAAAGTGAACCAACTGTTGTCTGCCTGCTCTACAGCCTTATTAATTTTAATATACTTAAAACATTATTGATGTTTATATAGTTGTATCTGTGTATGCATATATGGTAATTTTTGTTTATTATAGTTAGTTTTCTTATTATGCTTAGAAAAGTATTCATACATTTCAGCAACCATGAGCATATTATCCTGCAGTGAATGTAAAAATGATGTACAGTATTATATAATATGTTTCTTTGTACACAAAGCTTTAAAACAGTAAGCACCATTTTAGTATGCTAACTTGCTTTCACAACTTCTGTCTTTCTTTGACATTATTTGTGGCGTTTTATCAATCCCATTAAAAGAAAGGAAATGTCTTTATCTCAGGAATAACTCCTTAGATTGTCTGAGTTCTGACTTTGATTTATAAATGAGCTTACACTAGTTATTGTTTGGGAGTGTGGAAATGTACTGACATTTCTTCAAGTTAAAGGGCAGATTATTTAATGTTTGCTTTAGATACAGAGAATAAATGGGTGTTAACCTTATTTTCTTTAGAGCCAGCTATCAGTAATTTGAATGTAAAAATAGTGTATTAAGGTAATAGTGTTACTGTACCTCAACATTGGTAATTTACACAAATACATGAAATTATATCAATTCACGCATGCTTTTTGTTCTTCATTTGTGATTTATATTTATCACATACCTGTGTAAGACAATTGCAAACAAAGTGGACTACTTACATCAGGCCCCCCCAATAGTCCCGATTTTGGAATTTTTCCAAATCTGGGGACACCAGGGATCTGTAATTTGGCAGCACAATACAAGCAAATCATTAGATGCCCTAAGACCATGCAAAGAGTGCTTCAGGAGGTTGGGGGCAGTCTGAACAGGCCCCTTCAGTCTATCAGTGGATGGGGCCAATTATTATGGGCATCACCAGTGATGTGAATCATGTCACTGGTGATGCCCTTTCTCAGGCCCACCCAGTAGCCCCAATCTGGTGGAAGGTATGCTTACATTGAGGTCTATTCACTTAAGAATAGTGAACAACAGTAAAAGGAATTGGCAATTTAATACCAAACCACCTATGCTGCAAAAATAGAGAACATTGAGAATTTTGCAAAGTTTATAACAAAATAGTGACTTGGATTTCCACATTTTAGTGCATATACCGTTTATGTTTTTCTCTACGATTGTATGTCTAGTTTATTTTTGTTCCAACTTCATAACTGTAATAATTACAAGGAAAAAAAGTTGGCCTGATTAAATGTACACTCTTTTTTTGCATGATATTCATGAATATCATACGTTAATACTAGTAGTGGAGACTTGTTTAAGGTCTGCGAAACAGGAAGATACATAAAGTGTAATCTCTATCTTGAGGCAAGATGGATATGTCAACCATACAAAAGACAGAGTGCAGTAATATGCAACTTTATCCTAAGCACGTTCTCTCTGTCTTTCTCTTTCTGCAGGCTGAGATAAATGAAATGTTGAAGGTGCAGGAAGAGGCCTATACTGCAAAAATAGAAATCTTGGAAAAGCCATGACATTCTCAGCAAACTGTTCAGAACTTCAAATATCACATCATGCTGTAAAATTCTCTAGAGATCCTTATTTATTACCGTGCCAAACAAATCCTTACACACACTGTTATATTTATACATATATAGCAAAATGTGTTTTTGAGAAGACATTTTATTATTTTTGACTTACCGCAGAAAAATGCATTTGGGTGTTAAAAAGAATGTTGTTGGGAGCGATATTATATTATATGTGCTTCTTCACACTGCTATGTAGTTTAATTGTAATGCAGTACTGTATAAACTCAAGCATAAGATTAAATATAATTTTTGACAGTATAAAATGACTTTGTTTTATTTGAATATTTTAAAATAAAAAATACTAATTATTTCCATATCTACACAAAATCTGAAGTGCCTGTCAAGACATGTTGATACGTTTCAGCTGTTCATTATTCTAGCCAAATTGCTTGCAAATATAAAATAATGTAAATATAAACGTAAGCCTCAAAATTGTAAAATAATGTATTTATATTTCTTTAAACCCTACGATGTCTAGTGCACAGTTCCGCATTAAGTTATTTTTCGTAGCAAATTATGCTAGCTTTAGTGTACTAATAATCTTAATTTTAATAAGGACAGGAGCGAGTATTTTGCATTAACTCTCTTTACTAAACTCCACAGCAGTAAAGAAAAACGTAAAGAGTAACAAATAAATCACTGAGCAGCATAGTATATAAGGGTCATGCTGCCTGTACACTTCCTCTTTCTTAAAGCGACATCCAAGTCCAGATAGAGCTCGAACATCCAGAAACTCAACGAAACAGTAACTGCGGTCTCTGGCGAGCGGAACTTGAGGAGACTCCTGGTAATGAGATAGGAGGAAAGACCAAACGAAGCTGCCATCCCATCTTACGGAGTCGTGAGGTTAACGAACCAGCGACCAGTGGAGGTCCTGAAGAGGGTTACACTGAAAGGAGAGTATAAAATCGGTTAGGTACTGAACCGTAACTGTTCACGCCTGTGGGCTTTAACAGAATGGTGTAAATTAAACAGTACAGACAGATTGTAAGCTGGCCATAGGCTAAATATGTGTTAGGTGTAAGCATGTTGTACAACTAAACTGTCTGTCTAGGTGGAAACACTGGGGATAGAGATGGAAGGGATACCGAATATGTCCAGAAGATAGAGTAACTACTAACATGAATCCCAAAATCCATCACCTTAAGATCCACTCCCCCGAGGAGTCAGGGTAGGGAACAAAAGGGAGGGAAAATACTCGCCTCCTGTCCTTATTAAAATTAAGATTATTAGTACACTAAATCTAGCATAATCTTCAATTTTATAACATGACAGGAGGCTTCCTATTTTGCAATTTTAACGCTGAAGAGACATCCCAGCAGAAGGGGGAGTGCGAAAATAAAATGTACGGAACATGGATTCCCTAGACCAGTCCGCCGTTCGGAGGATATCCGAAAGGGACGCCCCTGCCAGGAAGGCTGATGAAGCCGCCGCACCACGAACGGAGTGGGCGCCGAACGCGGGATCTATACCTGCGAGGGAAAGGATCCAGCGGATCCATCGGGCCAGTGTGGTGACCGAGACTGGGGCGTGAGGGCGCACGTAGGAGACTAGGAGTTGGCCTGACGTAGATGATCGGAGTGAGGAGGTAACGGAAACATACCTGCGAAGGGTGGACACGACACAGAGTTGCGGGTCATCGGGGAAAAAGGGGTAGAAGACCGAAGTCGAACACGACTTAGTCCGACGGGAAATGTGGAACGTGACCCCTTCAGGGGCCACCTCGAAAGCGTCCACGTCGAAGGCCCGAACGTCCGAAACCCGTCGGAAAGATACAAGACAGAGGAGGAAAGCGCACTTAGCGGATAGTTGGCGTAAGGAGAGGCGGTCATTCGGAAGCCAATCCCTGAAGAAGCGGAGAACCAGTCCCACATCCCATAGGTGAGGGTATCTGGGGGCCGGAGGGCGGCAGAGCCGCATACCGCGGAGTAGACGGCAGACCAGAGGGTCTTTGCCGAACGGGAGGTCCCCGACGGGGGTGTGAGCTGCCGAAATCGCGGAGCGAACGACGTTGACCGAACGGTAAGAGCGGCCAGATGAAAACAAGGAGGAAAGGAAATTAAGAATCATGGGAATAGGTGCTGTAAAGGGATCGGAGTCCCGTTCCATGCACCAAGTAGACCAGGAGGCCCAAGCTGAAAGGTAACAGCATCTAGTTCCCGGGGCCCAAGAGTCCCATAAGAGGTCCCTAGCAGTCTGCGATAGTCCGCTGACTCGCCAGGAACCCCGGAAAGAGACCAAGCCACCAGGGGTAGCCGGTCTTCCAGGAGTAGTGGGTGGAGATACCCTTTGGGATCCGTGAGCAGGTCCGGGAAGGATGGTAGGAGGAGAGGGTCCTTGTAGGAGGAGGCCAGGAGGTCCGGGAACCATGGTTGGCTCTGCCACAAGGGCGTTATGACAACCAGTTTGATCTGTTGCGTCCGCATCTGGTGTAGTGTTCTCGCAATCATGGAGAATGGGGGAAAGGCGTAGGCTCCTGTCGTCGGCCATTGTTGGAGAAATGCGTCTGTCGCCTTGCTCTCCGGGTCTGGGAGCCAGCTGAAGAACTCCGGGGTCTGGTGATTGTTGCGAGAGGCAAACAGATCCAGGTGAAAGGGACCCCTCTGGGCTGTCAGGGCCCTGAAGATTCTCGTGTTTAGCTTCCAGTCGCTGACGTCTCTCCAGTGGTGAGAGAACCAGTCGGCTGTGAGATTGAATTCTCCCGGTAAGTATTCCGCCTGTAGCGTGATGTTGCGAGGGAGGCAATAGTCGAAGATGTCTCTCGTGATATCCGACAGCAGGCGTGAGCAAGCGCCTCCCAGACGGTTGATGTACTGGACTGCGGATACATTGTCCATGCGCAGGAGGATGCAGCAGTTGGATCTTTCCCGGGCCAAGCTGCGGATTGTGAAGGATCCTGCCAGGAGTTCGAGGCAATTGATGTGCATGGAGAGCTCCTGCGCCGTCCATGTTCCCCCCGTGGAGATGGTTCCGTTGGTGGCACCCCATCCCCACAGGCTGGCGTCTGATTCCAATACGAAGTCTGGAGTGTCTCCGAATATGGCCTTGCCATTCCAGGCTTGCATGCTGTCCAGCCACCATAATAGTTCTTCGCGAACCTCCATCGTCACCGGGACGGGTTGGTCGTAAGCAGGGCCGGACTGGGAAAAAAATTAGGCCCGGGCATTTTTCAATTAGAGCGGCCCCCCAAGAAGGGGGCGGGGCCAGAGAGGGTGTGTTTTGTCATCACTAATGACAAGCACGCCCCCTCTCAAAGTGAGCATGTTGGTTCAATGCGCAGAGCCCCGCTGAAGAGCTCTGGCATTAGAAAAAGGCCCTGAATTTGTTCTGCGCAGCGCAAGAAAATGTAATAACATGCTTGCGCTGTGTTTCCTTTTAAATTGTGTGGTGTGGTATTGTGTAAATAGGTGTAATATGTGTTGCTAGGGGCTGTAGAGAATGCGTGTATAGGGGCATAGTGTTATAGGGGATGTAGCGAGTGTGTGCATACGGGCAGTAGTGTGTGTGTATAGGTGACGTAGTGTGTGTAGGGGTTGTAGAGAGGGTGTGTTTAGAGAATGTTGTATGTCTTTCCTTACAAGGAATATAGTGTGTGTGTGTGTAGGTGGTGCAGTGTGTGTGTGTAAGAGATCTAGTGTGTAAAGGACCCAGAGTGTGTATAGAAGATTGTGTGTGTGTGTGTGTGTGTGTAGAGGATTAAGAGTGCATATAGGGTAAGGGATCTAGCGTGTATTTGGAGCGTAATGTGTGTAGTGGTGTGTGTGTGTGTGTGTGTGTATATATATATATATATATTTGGACGTATTGTATGTGTGAGGTGCGCAGTGTGTTTGTGTAAGAGGGGTGCTGTGTGTGAGGGTGTTTTTATCTGCCGTCACATTCTAGGTTTCTAATTTTCTTTGTCTGTTCACTGAGGGTTATTATTATATATATATATATATATATATATGTATGTGTGTGTGTGTGTCTCTGCTGGGTGTGTCTGGGGGTGCTGTGTGTGTGTGTCTGGGGTGCTGTATCTGGGGTGCTGTGTGTGTGTCTGGGGGTGCTGTGTCTGGGGGTGCTGTGTGTGTCTGCTGTGTGTATCTGGGGTGCTGTGTGTGTCTGGGGGTGCTGTGTGTCAGGGGGTGCTGTGTGTGTGTCTGGGGGTGCTGTGTGTGAGGGGGCTGTGGGTGTCTGGGGGGGCTGTGTGTGTATCTGGGTGCTGTGTGTATCTGGGGTGCTGTGTGTATCTGAGTGCTGTGTGTATCTGGGGTGCTGTGTGTATCTGAGTGCTGTGTGTGTGTCTGGGGGTCCTGTTTGTGAGGGGGCTGTTAGGGAATTTATTTTAAATATATATATATATTTTTATGAATAATTTTAAAACAAGTTGTGCTCCCCCCCCCCCTTCTTACCTTTAGCCTGGGAGGGGGAGGGAGCCGTTCTGCCTGGGAGGGGGAGCCTTGAGGGGACCATGCTGCCTTCCCTGGTGGTCCAGTGGTGAGAGTGAACTCTAACCTGCAGGTTAGAGTTCACTCTCACGAGATCTGAGCGTTGCCACGGTAACCACGGCAACGCTCAGAATCTCGCGAGAGGACCCGGCGGAGCTGCGGGTTAGAGCTCCGCCGGTCCTCTCTCCCCAGCCGGCGGCCGCATCTCACTGTCTGTGGGCCGGTGAGGGAGATCTTTGATCTCCCCACCGGCCCATGGATTCACATAGCAGGGCTGGCGCTCGGGTAGCGCTGGCCCTGCAGGGGCTGGCAGGGGAGATCCTGGGATCTCCCTGCCGGCCACGGCCATCGCGGCCCACCGGGCATTTGCCCGGTATGCCCGATGGCCAGTCCGGGCCTGGTCGTAAGTAGGTCTGTGGCGTAGGTATTTCGCCTTGAGGCATTGCATGGCCCTGTAGTGGAGGGGACCCGGAAATATGGCTTGAATGGAAGCAGAGAGGAGTCCTACAATCCTGGCCAGGTTGCGTAGTGGAATGGAATCGAGACGGAGAACCCTGCGAATCTCCTTGCGAATGGCTGTGATCTTTGAGGCTGGTAGCCTCAGAGTGCATGTCGTCGAGTCGATCTCGAAGCCGAGGCATTGTATCGTCTGAGTAGGGGACAGCTCCGATTTCGGTTGGTTTACCACGAAACCCAGAGATCCCAGTAGGGACACTGCCAAGTGAGTGTGTTGGCGTAGTCTGTGTTCGTCGGAGCAGAAGATGAGAAGGTCGTCTAAGTAGATGATGCATCGAATGCCCCTGGATCTCAGGTGGGCCACCACTGGTTTTAGA